CACACTAGTTTATCTGTGTAAAGTAAACTACAGTACATGTGAATAAGTAGCAAATATATTTACCGAAAACTATAATTATAAAGTGTAATTGAATATACTAGGTGAACAAAGAATATAAAATATTCGGTTTATAATGAATACTAATTTGACGTTACCTAACTATTAATATGTGACAGGCATAATTGTCTATTTAATAGGCATCCATTCATGGAGTAGTAGTATTTGCCTTATTTTATTATGCTACTTCACTAACTTGATTAGTAGTACTGTTTGACTTTTCGTTATGGGCGAAGTGAACCTAAAATAAGTGACTTACCATCTTGTTAAGTCTTACTACTTTGTCAGTTGTATTAACTTGCATGACATCAGCCAGTTAGACATCCTCTGAACAAAACTACTTTACTACGATTTGAATTCTAACTTTCTTCCACGAAAATCATTTATTTTGACGATTAACTTCGTACAGACACAATTTAATTTCTCTTTGTGAAAACTGAACGTTTCTAAAAACATGGACAGATATGTAACACCCTTGAAAAGCCTACAATACAGTCCTTTTGTGTTAATATGCATTAAAAATACCTTAAGCACCATAACTTTTGTTTATTTGCAAAAAAACAGTAATAAGTGATATTAAATCCTCTACACACCTTGTGAAAGTTGAGTGTTAGTCATCCAATGGTGCCTCGACAGCATTATTTTAATCGTTAGTGTTACTGATTAACAGCGGTCATTCCTGATCCGACTCGTTTTACTATTCATCGTTTGTTACAGTATTGTGGTGATATATTCTCCAAATAAGGATGTTTTAAGAATATAAGTACTTAAATGACTTCTAGCTGTGCACATCAAGCAGTAAATAGTGTGAATTAAGTTGCCAATAACTCAGCGCTCTTTGATCGGTTGACTTGAATTAGTACGTAAAAGTGATGATCAGAGTTGTTATTAGATAATAGACTCATATTCGCAAATCAATGAAGAAGAGGTTTAGCTATTGACAAAGTGACTGAAGATACTTGTCGGTTTGATGCTTTCATATTTATTTTTAGCCTTACGAGGTGTAATTGAATTAACTGTTAACGAAATGCAGGACATTGTTACTGTGTATTTGTTTATTCAAAACAAGAAAAGATAATTTCACCTTAATAGCTTGAAAAAAGAACTACAATTTATACTTCACTGTATTCATATATGAATGAGTGCATAGAAGACAAAAGTAAACCTATCTACTTAACAATATAGGTTGAACAGTTTGTTTTCTGCATTGAAAACTTGATTTGAAATCAACTGATGTGTATTATTATTATTATTATTATTATTATTATTATTATTATTATTATTATTATTATTATTATTATTATTATTATTATTATTATTATTAGGGCATCCATAAAATAGGCCAGCGAAATGAGGTCTGAATTTTGTAAAAAGCGATAGTAAATGCTTCAACTTAACCATTGAAAATGCTAAAGTCTTAAACTACTAAGAGATTTGCAAGGAAAAAGTCTTTTAAGTCAAAACTTAACTAGATTTAATACAGTTATTCTATATCATTCAAGCAAATACAATCCAATAAAGCTTGTTGTACTAAAAATTATTCACATAGGTGGAAGCTGTTTAAAAGGTGTGATATGAAGTTACGTAAAGTAAAAATTGTTTGTAAGCCTCAGTTAGTAAATTCACATGTTAGTAAGTTCAGTTAGTGAAGAACATGTGCTAAATTTGTAATGAAGCCAGATATAAAATTACCTATGAAGTTCAAATGAACTTCAAGTTTAGTGAAAAAAGTTCCACCATAACGTGTTTCAACCAAACTGTCAAGATCATGCGTCATTTGAATTTAGACCACCATGGAAACCCTGAAAGCACTGGACGGCCGTTTCGTCCTATCGTGGGACTCTTCAGTATTGCGCATCTACGATCTCGCTTCACGAGACTGGAACCCATATTATTATTTCTTGGAAGTTTTATTGGCTCACTTTCTGATTTAGAAATTAAACTTAGAATCACCATATGATATTTTAGCCAGTGAGTTGCACATAAAGTAAATTTTTTCAAGTGAATATATTTCTATGGGTTGCCGGGTACTTTTATAACGTATTCATCCAAAACGAGAAATGTTTCCCAAAATGATTGAAGATTAAGTCAGATTTGCTTACTCTTTGACAAGCATTTTATTCTGTCTTTCAGTAATATTGCGAATTGTAATTTGCGAGAAGCTCTTCAAAAAGTATTGGCGGAAGGAAGAGAAAGTCTTTGTTTTTCCCAAATACTGGTTTGTTTGATAGAATAATATAATAAAGTTGTTATTTAAACCAGCAATTTTATTACGAAATATAAAATGTGTGTCGAAAAAATTTTCTGAACACATAATGCTCTTTTCTTTGCAATAATAAGATGTTAGTTAAATCATCCAGTTCAGTTACATACAAGTAGAAGAGAATAAAAAGCGATTCATTCATTTTCTTATCTTCTAGTGTGCAGCCTCATAAGCCAGGGTGTACATTTAGTTCTCAGTTTGACAGCATGTTCAACAGCTGAATATTTAGAAAGTGAGGCATATCGTTATCACCTACCTCATGTTGCCATACCAAGACCTGCATGCGAAGAGAAACAGACAACAAAGGTTACAGAAACAACAACTATATGGATTCAAACAGATCCTTTTCGGATGGCCAAGGCTTTTTTGGAGATCAGTGAAATGGAACGAGCTTCACATGCACTTATCTTAGCCGATGGACTTACTGGTATATTGATTTTCACTCACAAGTCATATAAAGCTACTTTATTACTCAATATATATTACTTAAACCATTTTACAAGTACCATTAATGATACTTTGACCTCGTTCTTACTTGAATTGTATCAGGTAACGTGATTTCTAAATTGATTCTAAGGTTTTGAATTCATCTTGCTCAGGGAGGAAGAGTCATGAATACATTGCACGCATATGTAAACACAATTTATTCATCGTTTTCTGATAAAATTAATGAACTAAGTTGATAATTATGAAACGGAGGTTCTAAAGCCTTTAGTTTATCAGTAAATGTTTTAACAAGCCCATTGAAAAAAGTAACTTTATTTAAATCTTTCTACAATATATTTTTCGAAATCAATGCTGACACTAAATTAGGCCGTTGCAAATTGTATAAAATACTGCTACTGACAAATCATTATATGGAAAATAAATTTGATGTGTCATGTTGCCGACGTCTTCTAACAACTTCTATGATTATTGACTAAATATTTCAAAATATAAAAATACCTTAGTGATAATCTTTCGGTGCTTAGTGAGTAATGAATCTAGGTTGGTCTAATGGTACCAAAAATAATTCCGTAATTAAACGTATTATTCGTCAATTAGTGTCTCATTCTTGATGTTACATTAAGAATAAAACCCCTTCAGTAAAAAATAATAAAGAAATAATCAAGGCATTGTACGCCAATGCGAATTTCAATACGTCCTATCGTTTTTATAGAGGTGCAAGACTTTTAAGATTATAACATGATGTTTTTATGTTTTAGCAATGACATCAATCGACAATATTTACTTATATTTACGAGTAAGTTGCCACAAGTGTGACACATCTAAGGGTGGATGTTGTTGGTTGAGAAGGATTTTCTGTTTGGGTAAATCGACGTGCCAGCTCTCAACATTTGTTTACTGAACACTGGAAGTATAGAATATTTCGAAGGTTAAAAGCGTCAATGGATTACAGAACTATTGTAATTCTGTATTAACATTTTCTCTCAATTTCATTTAAACATAACTATTTTAACCATCAATAACTATTGTTATTTGAAATGTTAGTTATTATTATTACTTTTATTTCCATCCTTTATGTTTTGTAAGCTAGCAGTGAATTATTTAAAGGCAAGACCACACATGTACTGCTATAAGTCATCTATTCATGATGAAAATAAGTGTTGATGAGGAATTATTTCTCTAAATTCCGACTTTGATGGTCTTTTCTCATCTCGTTGTTAAAATGGTCAATAGGTAAACAACCATATGATGATACCATTTATTGCGGGCAATTACTTATTGTTATTAGAAACTATAGAGATTTATCTAAGATGGTTGGATACAAAGTCGAACGACATATTAATGATGGGTAATACATATTTTCTTCACATTAACAACTCTTATTTACAATTAAATCACTAGTTGGATATTTATCAGTTACTCAGGTACACTGACGTTTAGTTTAAAATTTAATCAGTATCCTGAAAAGTGTTGAAACGCTGAAAATTCATGCAAATATGATATCCGATTCTCAAGACTAATCTCGTTAAGCTAGATTGCTAGGCCGAAATCGTCAAGTGGTAAAAAATTTAGGTGGATTTAAAACCACGGTGGTTTCATTTTAAAATCTGTTTGGATAAATTTAACATCAAAAATGTAAAAGTCATCGGTGTTTCATGTCATATATAAGTTAATATATCGTGATTCAATATACCAGTAGTCATGGCTTTGATTTTTTTCTGATTGGATAATCAATTTAAAGAGTTTCACTTCTTGAAGCAACTAAAACTGTATTCATCAAATGCCTACTAAAAAGAAGCTAATACATTTTTATTATTACTAGAGTATACAAACTGTTGTTGCACCGTAGACTGTTTTTGATTATTCCACAAATATTTAAACATAATAAAATTCTCAAAGTATTTAGTTATTTTCAATCATATAGACTTTTGGTATTTTATCGTCATAAACTGTTTTATGTTCTTGTGTGCTTATGCTCTAGTGCACTCGGTGTATGATTTGTAAATGATTATATTCTTTATAATTCCATTTGAGAAGTAAGAAATCTCTATATGCGTTTTGTTAACACAACTATTAACTAATCGAGAAATTTTTAAGTAATGAAATTTCTGTTTATAAATTTTATTCTTCAGCTATTATCCCAGGGATATATGACCTCACATTGCGGAGGAAAATTGAAAATAAGAGATTCTACACTGATTTCTCAACGCAATTATTTTCATCAAACAAATGTATGAATTCATTCAGCTCGTTTAGTGAAATAACATTAGATCAGCTTATTGAAACATTGATGGAAAATAGACCAAAGATTACCATTACAAAATCGTATTTAACGCATATATTCCTGATTCATACAAAACCTTATCATTTAGATTACTTTAGAAAAGTAAGCAAATGCAGATTATAAAGTCATTATTGTACGTTGTATACCAGTAGCTAAAGTTTAAAGCAAGAAACTAGAAGCTAATGTTAACAATAAATGTAGTCATTTTTTGATCCAATTAACTTGAACTCACTGCAGTGGATGTAAAATTGTCTTAAAAGAGTAGACAAAACTACTGTCTTACCAAGAATATATATATATATATATATATATATATATATATATATATAGTCATTAGAAAATCTCATTTGTTTAAAATGTTTTCTTATCTGTCGTAGGGTTCATACTAATACAGACGCCAGCAAATGGGTGAGTGGAAAAGGGTATGCATTAATAAAAGTGATCACTGAAAAAAAGAATAACATTTTTAACGGTGTAAAATATGTTCTCTTTATCGAGATTGGATGGTGGTTGGAGGTAGTCGCAGGAAACCCCTAGACATGCGTTTCGTGCTACTTGGCACTCGTCAGCAAGGTGTACCTGTAATCTTGAGGGAACGGGTGCTCTTTGACGAATTAAGTCCTGTGTCACCCAGCTTCACAGTCAGAGACGTTACCACTGAGCTATCCGGGCCGCGATCAACCTCCTGTAGGACTGAGATGTAATCACAATTGATTGATCACTGGGTGGTGATCAATATCATGTGTATCAAGTCCTTATTTAGTGCAGATCGAATGCTATCGACCATGTTGTAATGTGGCCACTAGCCTAGGTCACTCGACACTTCGTGAACTATATATTGAGATTAGATGGTGGTGGTGATGTTCCCTTTATCCTCTGTTCCTCTGCCTTACGACCAATCAAAAACGTATTTTCCTAAACTTATGATAAAGAGTCTAATTTCAGCAAGGATCGATAAATACTGTAACTTGTCGAATTTGGTAACGAATTATTATTATTACCCAAGTCAGGTTGTCTTATACGTCTATTTCGAACAAATAGAATATAATCTATTTAAAGGGATGTTTGTTTGTGTAGAATTCCTTACAGATCGAGAATTTGTCAGACGATTTCGGGTGACCGAAAATGCAGACGTCACAGACTTGTTAACGAATAGATATTTGCAGTGAAAATGTACTGATACATAGAATAAATTAGCGTCTATTTGTTTTGAAATAAAATATTTGCGCAGATTTCTAGATGAAACAGTTGTATATAAAGTCCAGAACAGATAAACATCCCTTTAAATAGATTATATTCTATTTGTTCGAAATAGACGTATAAGACAACCTGACTTGGGTAATAATAATAATTCGTTACCAAATTCGACAAGTTACAGTATTTATCGATCCTTGCTGAAATTAGACTCTTTATCATAAGTTTAGGAAAATACGTTTTTGATTGGTCGTAAGGCAGAGGAACAGAGGATAAAAGGAACATATTTTACACCGTTAAAAAAGTTATTCCCTTCCTCACTGATTACCTTTATTAATGTGCCCCCTTTTGATGGTCGCTCTTAATATCATAAGCCCTTTTTATCTGTCCCTTTTTACACTCGCCCTTTGATAGTTGTCCTTTCGCTCGTTCCTTTTTGAACGGATACCCCAATGATTACGCAAAACTATTCATTGATAAGTATGTATGTTTGGGAGAAAATAGCTTTTTATGTATTTGGTGACTGGGAATAAATAAATAACTGTGTTCTAAGCAATTAATAAATAAGAACTTTCGTCTAAATTTGAACGAATAGTTTCACAATATTTGGGCATCTAGTTAATGTGAGACATTAAAGAGGATGATTTTGTTGTTTGATTATATTTTCCTTGAAAAAGCTTGGACCAGATTGCCAGGCGAAACGTTGGATTTACTTCAAATTCTTTCGCTGAGATTTTACAAATACATTTTTCCTCTTTAATGTGTTCTAAGAAATTCGTTATTCTATATAATTCAAATAATTGACCGCTGTATTTTAGGAGTATTCGTCTTTCACAGTTTTACACTTTTCGAAAACGTTTCTACTGGTTATTTTGTATGCCTTTTAATGACCCTAATTTGATACTATGAAGCAGCAGTGAACTACATGTGTGTATAACCTAAAATCTATGTATCCGAATATATCAACCTATCAGTAACTAACATGTCCATAGAAGACTGAGTAACTGTTAATTCTCGACGATATTCATAATATTTTTATTTACTTACAAAATTATTTATCGAGATAATAATGCTTGTACTATTGTTCTTAGAAATCTTTTATACCTGAAGTTATATTCCAGGTTACTAGGTGATCATTTCTTGTATTCGGTTGCTGGCAGGAATAAAAAGATAACATAAATATAAAAAACGATTCTGAATAGTTTGGCATAAAGTTATCTACTTTATGGATTACTCTTGCAAAATAACTAGTTAGTCATAACTAATTTCGTCTGTCATTTTTAGAGTAGCTTCTGAATGAAAGAAATTATCGTCTCTTAACTGATATATTTTTCGGGCGTGACTAAAAAGCCATGTGATCGAGGAGCAGCAATCTCTATTGATTGGTTTTAACTTTGAAATACAAAATGTGGCGTGAAATCACTTGAACTGATGGTCATATAAAGCATTCAGTCAAGAAAATCTGTCTATCGCTGAAGGCTAGATGGTCTGACATTTCAAGTCTAGTATCCATTTGTCGGTTCTGAATTATGTTACTGGGACACAAATATATCCATTTTCGAATCTTGGATACAATTTAAGTTTAGATCTTACACATGAATTTTGATGATGTCGTTATGTAGAGGTTTCTATTGATTGTTTTTATTTGGTTAAAAGCTCGAACCCTTCACTAAGTACATTCATGTCTATGTATTAAGAAGATCATGCCCTACAAGGCTTGGTAGACTGACCAGTTAAAGAGCATTAGAATTTCTCTGACTACCGTTTTACAATTTTCATAGAATATTGTTAACATTAAGGCCTAGGTCTGGTTTTTTCCCTTTTAATTATACAGGTTTTTGAGAAATCTAACATTACAAAGAACTACTATTGGATTTTTGATGAAATTCCTGATGTGCCTATTAGAGATCTATTAAATCTTATTGCTTCATCAAGTGTTAACAAAATGAAAGTGGGATTTTTTCGACAGTTTCCTGTGTTAAATTTTGAAGATCTGTCAAAACATGAATTGCAAAAGGGCACTCAGTTATTGATTAAATCTGCATTGCATGGAGAAACGCATAGTTTGCCTGTAAGATTTTGTTTTTTAGTTATTTTTGATGTTAAGGTGAACTAAGTGTTAAATTGTATCAATATATTAACACAAATCTATTTCATACCATATACAAAAATTATAAGTTGATAGAGAGAATTCGTTGCGTAGCACTTAAAGCTGATTTGTATTTTGTGTTTAACAAAGAAAAAATACATTGGTAATTTTACCTTTCATGCTTATTAAGTTAATTAGCAAAATAAGTTTGCATCCTTTGATTCGATTACAAAACAGGTATCCAGTATTCTTATAAATTAGAACAACATATGTAAGCGAACAATTGTTTCCATTTAGATCGTCATCAGGCTTTACTCTGATATATATGAATATTTATACGAAAATGTTAGACCAATCAAGGGAATTTAGGTTAATAATCACAATGAAATAGAATAAGTCACCACACATAATAGGTAAAAAAAACATGTTGATAGTAGGAAGACAGGTGTAGATAGTGAAGAACACGAACGGAAAGAGTCGAAAATTGCAAAAAAATATTCGGTGTGAAAATAATGGTAACGATAACAAAACGAAAATAAAAAGTCGTTTGTTAAGTTATAACCGGCCATGGAAGTGAAAGGGGGTCACGAATTTTTTCTGTACACATAAATTGGCGTTAAATGTACGAATTCCTATAGCTCTAGCTATATGTAGGAGATGGGATCGAACTCCGTTGGGAAATGATGGAGGTATATGATAGATCACTCGAAATGCTTCCGACTTATCTACATTATGACCGCTATCAATAAGATGTGCCAAGATAGAACTGCGTATTGTTTTTATCTAGCCCTTTATAAACCAAGCAGGTCGATGTTCACTCATTCGTTGGTTAAATTACCTGGTAGTACGCCCGATATAACTATCTCCAAAGGAGCAGCTGAATTTGTAAATGCACATTGAGGGGCCAACTCAGATAACTTATTCTTCGTTTGAGTAGACATCGCTGGTCGATGACGATCTAACTGAAAACAATTATTCGCTTACATGTGTTGTTCTAATTTTCACAATGGGAATCTTAAATATTCTTATAAATACATCAACTATGAGTATATGATTGTAATTAATATCTGCTTGATCATAAAAATTTACCTAAATTTATTTGTAAAATAGAAAAGATCCAATTTATTTAAAGTTTATCTGATCAGTGTTTCAATGCACAACTAGGATATAATGATGAAAACTTTTGTCTGTAAGTTGGCTTTATTAGTAGCTATAAGAATTATGTAAATCGACGTATGAATACATTATCCACGCTGAATTTATAAAATGATTCGTTTATCATATTTTTACAAAAACAGCTAATTCATATTAACCATATCACACCAATTGATTTAAATGGGATTTTGTTTCTCAGATCACATATTTATTATTATTCTTTAGACTATTAGTTAAAGGAATTCCAAATTAAATAAGGATTTGATGGACTTCGTATTGTATCATACGTTAACATTACATGACAAGTCGACTGACCTTTGATTTCTTGAATGGTAACATGCACACAGTCAGAAACGTTACCACTGGTCTATCCGCCTGTAGGACTGAGATGTAATCACAGTTGATTGATCACTGGGTGGTGATCAATATCATGTGTATCAAGTCCTTATTTAGTGCAGATCGAATGCTATCGACCATGTTGCAATGTGGCCACTAGCCTAGGTCACTCGACATTGCGTGAACTATGGTTAGATTAGATGGTGGTTGGAGGTAGTCTACAGGAAACCCCTAGACATGGGTTTCATGCCACTTGGCACTCGTCAGCAAGGTGTACCTGTAATCTTGAGGGAACTGGTGCTCCCTGACGGATCTGATCCCGTGTCAACCAGCTTCACAGTCAGGGACGTTACCACGTACGTACAGAAAATGAGTTAATGACTTTTATTTGTATTGGGGTGAAGTAGTTTAACTGAGCAGATATTGTAATTCACTTCTATGATTGAAATTTTATTAAAAATATGAACAAAACAAAATTTGCTGGGAACGTTTGTATCAACTGAGAAATTCCATTATTGAGTGCATTCGCACTGGTTGAAAATAATGATTTCATTAGCTTATTCCGTTCATGTATAATTGATTATGTCCATAACTTGTGATTATTTGGCATTTCTAAATCAGAAAATATTTTATCTAATTGACAACTTTAGTGCATTTCCAAATTCTTTTTTAAATATATTCTAATAAAATTGTAGTATCTGTTTTTCAGGAACGTGTAACTATTGCAGCTTATATGATAATGATTAGCAGTCAGATAGCAACCTTTATAAAATCATTTAACAGTTCATACTTGAACCGTAGTGGTATAAGTTGCCATCAAATCAACCCAATTGTGGACGACTTTGGTGGTAGGTTGTTTTATAACTTTCTCAGTCATGTAAGTTTTTTAGTGCTTATTCAAACATTATTTTTGATATAAAATAACTCTGTTTTGAATTATGGCGTGTTATTAATAGAAAAAGCTGTAACTGTTGTACATTAACGGTTATTAGGTCTAATATTGATTAGTAGTTAAGAGGTTTTAGTTGCTTCGGATTGTTTTCAGTGGTAATAAGATCAAATATAATGAAGAATTATTCGATAATCCAAGATATTTTTCTACTTACTAAGTAAACTAACTTCCTATAGGTTATAAATGATGTTTAATTCAAATGCATACACACAAAAATAAGGATAGTGAGTTAATTATTCAGTTATATAAGCAAGCCTCCTGAATAGAACTGAGACTTCGGTTAATTTTTTAGAACGATTCTGTAACATTTGTATACATGTCGAGTTTAGCGAAATTTAAGATTAGTTAATTGGATATCAATCACAGTCAGTTTTACTATCAATTTTACCTGGTTTCTGTTGTCTATTATTAATCCATCTGAGATTATAGTACAGTATACTAGTTTAGATTAGGTATAGGACACTAGAAAAAAGGGTTAGTATATTAGTTGGGATATAAACCTTTATCGACTGAAGTGGTTAGGAAACATGTATTAAGCAGGTGGAATAAATAACGTTGCCTAATTTGGTTGATTTGGCATAATATTAAGGATAGGCGAATTAAGATTTGGGATAGTTCTGAGACGCTAATCATTTCTAGTTTCATTAATGTTGCCATGTGCATATTCTGTGGTTAGAACTCATGTTATACTCGTAGTGAGTGGTGTGAGATGTTGAATGGGATTAGGGTAGAGCAGTTAGAAGTGATGGGATTGTATTATTTCTCCGTCTTGTTCTAAACATTGAATAACTCGTGACCTATAACCACTTATTCGTCTATCTCATTTGTGTTTTTGAAGTGTATTTCCAAGCTTATTTATTTATTTATATTTATTTGAACACATAAATATTGATACAGAGGGGCACCAAATACATATACGCCTTACAATAACAATGAGAATGTGAATAGATGGCGAATGTGAAGCACGTATAAGAAAAAGGGGAACAATAACGAACAGAAACGAGTGTATGAAAGTGGAATTGTAATAATGGGATAGGCAGTTCAGTTATCAAGAGTACAACCAGAAAGAATTCTTTCAGTTAAAGAAGTTACGTCCATTAATTTCCTATGGAGAAAGTAAAAGAAAGTCACAGCAGAATCGCCACTGGCTTCTATCCTGAGCCATGTCTGATATAGTCTCGAGCCACTGTGTTGTACCATCTCTAGGACCCCAGCCAGGGAGTCGTGAAGGACCAATAGAAGCCAGTCATGTACAGCTTTCTTTCATAACACAACACCATGTCATACACTAACCAACTCTACGCTTTTCCCAACCGGTCCCATCATGAGCAAATAATACACGAGGTAAAATTCTCTGAGACGACATTCGTATCACTTGTCCGAGCCACCGAAGGCGAAGTTTCAAGATAGTAACACTAGCTGAATTATCGTCGCTGTGTCCGAACACACAATGAGAGCCCCTGGATTATTAACATGGTTTGCCACTGGATGTCGGCAATCCTTTGGAGACAACGATGATCAAACACAGAGTCGCCTAACATCTTCACCTCAATGAGGGCAGGTTTCACAAGCACAGATAAAACTGCTCTCACCGAAGCTCTGCAGATCCAACCATTTTCAGCCAGACTAACATCACGAAGGCGCCAAAGATGGCCCACATTGGCATAAGCCGCTCTGGCTTTCACTATTCCTGAATTGATCTCTTCATTCGCGCCACCACCAGCACTTATGCAGCTACCCAGATACACGAACTTCTCGACTAATTCTATCTGTTCACAATCCAGAGTGAGTACAGGATTAGAATCCTGCCAGTCTTGTAAAAGTACTTTGCACTTAGAAGGTGCAAATCTCATACCGTACCTACGGACACTGATTGCCAACTGATTAAGTGACGATTGCATGGTTTGGGTATCATCGCACAGTAAGGCAATATCACCTGCATACTCAAGATCGAGAAGGCTTTCTCCAGGCAACAGATCCACACCACCAGTGCCTACATCCAGCAGATGTTTCCAGAATGTCGTTGATGGCAAAGTTGAAGAGGAATGGTGAGATTGAGCAACCCTGCCTAGCCCCACTGCTTGAATGGAACAATGGAGAGAGGTGGTTGTATGCCCTCACTCTGCCTGAGGTGTTTGTATATATGGCTTTTAGGATGTTAATAAACTTCTCAGACACCCCCTTCTTCAATAGACAATCCCAGAGAACAGTCCTGTCCAACGAATCGAAGGCAGTCCTGATGTCAATAAACACCACAATTATAAATAAAAATAATATATTTGTAATATCCCAATGAGTAGAAAATTAGATTTTCTGACGTTTCGTGACTTAGTGTAAGTCACTTCTTCAGAGAATAAATAACTAAATCAAAATTAATCCAAGTTTAAATAGTACAACAGAACAATGCAAGAATAGTATTTGATCAATCAAAAACAGGTCTGAACAAGTTGATATATATTTCCCTTTCTGTCCAGATCACTCTGCACCTTGTGTTTCCCATCATGTTAATTCTCTCTCATTGTACGAATCTAATCTATGGCAACTTGTAATAATAAATATTTGTGTCAAGTTTATAGTTGAAGATAAATAACTGGTTGAGACAAATGATGAAGAAACACATCTCCATTATATTTGATACCGAACAATGTAGATTCTTTGGTAAATCGTCAGGAAGTGAGGTGCAATTTCATCCTTTTTATTTCTTTAAAAAATGTCTTGCATTAGTTGTTTAGTAAGCTATATGGTGGAATGAAGTTGTAAAGTGCTAGTAATTGAATTCTACCTGAATGAGTGAATGATATCGTTTTCATCTGGAGACCTCAGAGTTTCAGGTTTGGTCTCTTGTGTGGTTATAGGTTCTGTATAGCAACAAACCTGTTTGCAAAAGCTGCTCATTACTTCCTAGTTTTCAATAGTTGGTCAGTGTGTAAAAAAAAACTAAATTAGAGTTTGAAAAACCTCCAGGAATACCAATACAAATAATGAAATTTTAAATGAGAGTGTTCATTGGAATGAATTTATGTGTCACTTCTCACTACTTATGAGTTTGTTATCTCAAAAATTAGTTTCCAATAAGCATAAACTCTTCTGATGAGTCATAAAATAATACTGCAGAACTTTTATCTAAACTGCAATAATGAAATACCTAGTCGTATGAAATATTCTCTAACTAGTGTTAGAGAATAATCTCCTGCTTAATAATGACCATCTCTTTCGAATTAATTATCCCGTAGCTCTGGTCAACTGTTCCTACACGCCATAATTTATTGTTTACTGAAATAAATAGTTCATTTTGTTCGTTTATTCTGTCCTTTTTAGAAAAAAGAGTATAACTTGCTTCTGAACTTAGTTTAGATCTGTCACCTTCGAGAGTTAAATTTATTATTTATTACTATAAATGATCGTTTTTTACCTCGTTAATTCAAAATGATTGCAACCTAGTCCCATATACTAAACGTAGTAATACGAAATTAAGTAAAATTTATAGATTTACATTGGTTATTATCTTCAGAATGGAGGAACTGGTATATCATTTGCATAATCTCAGTGTTCACTTACTGTTTTGCTCAAATGCTAGAGGTCTGGGACTAATGTCTGGAAATCTTTATGGTTTTACTCACTCAAAACGTTTGATGATGCAATGAAAAATTTTATATCCACTGCTCATTACACTCCTGATGACAATATGAAACTTACAAGTAAAGGAATGAAAATTAAGCAAAGAAGCTTGGAAAGTGGTCTATTTTCAACTGTCTTTCAGTCATTTAATAACAAAATTCTTCGAATATCAACAATTCTCGTAAGTACTTGATTAACTTAAGGCTTTTGGTTTGGAAATGTTTGATTGATGAAAACTTTGAGATAAAACATTTGTCGAATGTTCAGCGATATCATTGATCCTTACAGCCTTAGGGTTGCTACTAATCTTAGTTTGATATGACGGTATACATCTGCGGTCAAATTCTTTGTAACATTCTTACTGTCATTATTTGAGTTCCCGTGAATAAGCAAACAGTTTCTGACCGAATATAGAAATTACCGCACCATAAATCCTAACAACGTTACATTTAATAAAACGACTGTTTTACTTTATTTTAACTCCCTTCTTAAGGATTGTGGGATACAAGCAATGCGTGAATGTCAAATTTAGTTCAGGATTTTTGCCAACTCTACGATAACTCGTTGAGAGCCAATACCAGCACTATCTTAGTAATACCGAGGTTTGGAAATGTTTGGTTGTGCTCATTGATGATAATTCAGTCAGTGTCACCATCTTAAAATACTAGATTCTGTGGCTTAAACATATCTTTTCAGTGATTTCCACACTGCTGCATTTCCAGAATCTGAAATTGTCTGGAAAAAGCTTGGAGGTGGTTAGCTTATTACATATCACAGGTTCCTGAATGAAGGCTGTATAGGACTGGAATCTGTTGGTACATCTCAATTTCCTGGTTGGGATCCGAGAGATGGTGCAATTCACTGACATGAAGCGTTATTAAATGTGGCTTATAACAGGGACCAGCCACAGTCCTACCATAGGTTTTTAAACGCACTTATAAAAAAACAAGAGTAACTTACGTAACTGAATACATTCTTTCTGGTTGCGTCTTCAACTGAACTACCTCTCTCATTATAGGTTATTATCGTTCACTCATTTTTATTCACTATTTATTTTAATTATACAATTTCCCCTCTATATTTTTTCACAATCTTATTTTCTTGTTTGTGGAGCATGTTTATTTTGGAGTTCATTTATGCCACTATATATGCGTTTTTAGGAAAATAAATTAAAAAAAAACTAAAGCTAATTAATAAATGCCTTTTAGTTGATTTTATGCACTGATCGCTTCAGTCTTGAACGTCTATTTGTGTAAGTTGTTTTATTGGTTAGTTTCTAATTTGAGGGGAAATATTAGCTGTTTATTTTTTAGTTTCATGATGTAGTCTCCAAATTCTATAAAGATGTTTTTCAAACTTAGCTATTTGCTAGCTCATTTCTAGATTTGATATTTAACACTCTCAGAGGATCACCATACTTACTTTCTTACACCTGTTACCCCTCGTCGAGGAGCATAGGCCGCCCACCAGCATACTCCATCCAACCCTGTCCTGGGCAATCCTTTCCAGATCTTTCCAGTTGTTATTCACTCTTTTCGTATCTGATTCTATTTCCCGATATAATGTTTTCTATGGCCTTCCTCTTTTCCACTCCCCTTCAGGATTTCAAGTTGGGGCTTACCTCATGAAGCAGTTTGGTGATTTCCGTAATGTATGTCCTATCCATTTCTATCGTCTTTTCTTAATTTCCTCCTTAGCTGGAAGCTGGTTTGTTCTCTCCCACAGAAGGTTGTTGCTGATGGTATCCAGTCAATGGATATTGAGTATCTTGCGTAGACAATTATTTATAAATACTTGTACCTTCTTGATGATGGCTGTGGTAGTTTTCCTAGTTTTAGCTCCGTACAGTAGAACTATCTTAACATTCGTATTGAAGATTGTGACTTTCATATTGGTTGACAGATGTTTTGAGTTCCATATGTTCTTCAATTGTAGGAGGGTCACCATAATACAAATTTATTTAATATGAAAAGAAACTTTTTATTAGGTGTATGAACTACTCAAACTCACAATTCCTTACTTCTTTGCCATATAAAAAATAGCTATCCAAAATGTTTCGATTCCTCTTGTCCCCAGAAAATTTCCTTTGTCTCTGAAATACTTTTTCAGTAACTTTGATGTAGATGCAAATAGGTAGATAGTATTGTTGCTAGTTTGAAATAGGCAGACGCTGAAAGAAAAGTCGTGCTTTTAGATTCTGTCAGACAGTCATTTCTAATAGAAATTTTAGGATTTTCTGTACATATATAGAAATTCTACTGCGTATGTAAATCGACTAAACACTGGTTGTTATTACCTAGTTATTTTGTTCAACAGGATCCTCCATTTGTTGTGACTGGTCAAGTAATTGAAAACGCAGAAATAATCAACGCTTCAGGATTTGCAATCGATATACTAAATGAATTGGCTATGCATTTCAATTTTAGGTAAAATATTCCCTTATAAATGTATACCGTTACATATGATGTCACAGTTGACAAAATTTTCGAAATAATTAATTATAACTTAGATTGTTTCCGATTTTCAAGCAATTAATTTTCCTCGTTTTCGCACGTGTAATGAATCCATTCTGCATACAAGTGGTGTTGAACCATTGTATGAGTTTTTGACCTCAAAGTACAAAAAGTAAGGTGAAGTATTCACAAGTAAGCCGACTTAATGGTCGTTATTAAATTATAGTCAAATTTTTGGGGCAGAGTTGAAGGTATGTTGATCTTCAGTGATCTTGATTGACTTGGTTTATAGCGATATCCATCTATTGGAAGTGTTTACTGATTACATTCATTTCTTAATCCTTACAGAAATAAGTCATCTACGTACACAGTTTCGTTTAAAATCAGTGAAAGTTTCCAAAGTGAGCTGATTTTTACTGTTCTATCATAAACAATCAGAGGGAATTCACATTCAGCCGACTGATATTTTAACAAGTGATGCGGACTTTCAAATGAATTTAAGATCCAGCTTAAATGTAAATAAATAAATACAGTTATTTTAGTAAAGATAAAGGCTTAAAGTACATATCTATCACTATATTGACCACATTTATGGTTCAAAGCACTGTCAAACAGTTTTTAGATTCAGAATTGGTAGCAGTTAAAAACCTTCAGCTTAGACATGAATATTCTCCACCTAACCATGAATGATTTTTTAATAATTAGCAACATTATTTTCCTTCATTCTCCCATAAATTTAACTTTATTGAATTCAGATTTATTGAAATGTTCCCATTTATTATGATTAGAGATATATTAGATTCAAATAGCATATTCTTTAGAATGTAGATTGGAAAAGAGATTTCATGTGTGGAATTTCAAGTCTGAAGTCAACGAACTTTTGAACATTGAATAGACGTTACTGAAATATTAGACTTTTTAACGATACCAATTGATATAATTCCAATGTATTATTCTAGCATAAATTCTTATTTAGTGTATATTTTTCCTTCTAGAAACTGGAAAACGAATAGCTTGAATTTAAAGTGTTAGTTTCTGAAAACAATTTAGCTAACATTTGCACTTTTTGATGAAACAGACAACTATAAACCATTAAACTACAAATATAAATCACTGGTTCTTTTAATATTAACCTTTTCAATGTCAATAGATATCGCCTTTTCTTACCACAGAACGGTACGTATGGCTCACTGGATGAAAAAGGAGATTGGGATGGCATGATGGGTGAATTGGTAAATGGAGTAAGTAAAGTATAAAAACGTCCAGTTAAACTCTTATTTAATGAAAAGAGCAAGAACAAAGATTCTAGCAGAATAGTATGAATTCATTTTATTTCGTATGTTCTCGTCAGCTGCTTACAACCTGTGATATTTAAAAATCATCATAATTACATAATGGGTTTAAATTGCTTACTGAATATTGTAAATATATACCTGATGTGAAAGAATATTCTACAAGATTAATTGTGACAACAGTTCAAAAGTGGATTAGAAACAATCGATTAAATAATGAACACGTCAAGATTTTAGAATTTATCAAAGGGACAGAAATTAAAATCGTGGAGAAAGCTTGTTACAAGTATTGGTACCAATAGTTGTTTTTTATTCAAACTATAATCATTTTTAATTTTTGTCAAATTAATAGCTACCGAGTATATACATAACGTCTGGATTCATCTTTCATAATGCTTACTATAACCCCGGGTAAGGATCCCAGTATCGTAAGAAACTATATGTAGTTTAGCTTCCAAATCAGTGAATCGTTTTAGTGATGGTTCTAATTTTATTGTTCTTTGTACAATGTGTATAATAATTCTCAGAACCTTCCAATTTACTTTTAAAATAAATCTCAATGATCTTTGTCGTTACTTGGAGGATAGCTGTACATGAGGAGATAAGCAACTGCTTATTAAGAGGAGTATAATTTTTATATTAAGAATAATAGTTATTTGTATTAGGATAAAAACAACATTCTGATTGCCAATCATAAAACTCCCAACAACTTGTCGTAAAGAAATTATGTGACTGACTAGTGAATTTTTTCCACATGATGACCGATTTCGTATGGTCCTTGTTCTGTATATCGTTTCCCGACATGTCATAACATATCATTATCGTAGATGGGTACATATCAGTATAACTATGTCGTTAAATGAACTGGTTAAAAATGTTATTTGTTTTAGTAAAAATATTTACACTGAATAACTGAAACACCAATCATGATCAATATATTAGTAGTATGTATTTATTTGAAAATGATATATGGTAATGTACTGTTGTAAGCTGGTAGAGTTTAGTCGATAGTTAGTTCGTTTGAGAAGTGTAGATGAGCTCTGGATGAATCGTAAGTTTTTCTTAGAAATGAAGCATCTACTTTAGGTTTTATTAATTTATACAATGTTTGGAATATATAGAATTTTAGAAACTATCATTTCCTCTAAATCTTCGAACATATAAATATAATGTAAATGAATACGTTGACTATTTACATATGTTTCACTAAAATTATAATTTCAACATTCTCAATTACTTAGTACTTAAACATCTTACTTCTAGATCTAAATTTTATTGTAACATTTGTTAGTTCAAAGAATCGTGGGCAATTTAGAAAGATACTAGACATCAAATGCTATTTAGTTCAAAAGACTACTTGTTGTCTGTATCCTTATACCCAACTATTCATAGATGAGTATATCAGATTTTTATCTGACAATGTTTTCAAATTGTTACCAATGCGTGTTATCAATAGTTCTGGCAACTTTGAGTTATGCATTACAATTATCTGTAAAGATTGAAAATTTTAACCAGTGTCAAATCATCATTTTTCAATTAAGAAGTGTCCTCATATCTGTGAAAACTTATCGGTGTTATTTCTGTCGTGAGAGATTGTGTTAATGGTTATTTAAACTGAAGCAGGTTACTTGACTAACAGTTCAATGAATTTATAGGGTTGAGACTTCTAATACTTTCACAATTTAAGTATAGCAGCATATCATCATATTTCATAGGGGTTTAATGTATATCATTTTCTGTACTAACTAAAGATGAATATTTTACTACCCAGTTTTTCTTATTTACTGATTATACATATCAGCGAGTTGATATGATAGCTGCTGGTTTGACAATCAATCCGAGAAGATCGAATTATGTGGAATTTATTGGTCCGATTGTTGAAGATACAGTTGGAATACTTGTAAAACCATCAACAGCAAATTATCTTTTCTTTCAAATGTTTCATCTATTTCAAATTAATGTTTGGATAGCAATTACTAGTTCAGTGGTTATTCTTGGAACAACAGTTTGGTTATTCAATAGGTATAGTCCATTCAGTGGATGGAATTTACAACTTCCAGAAGCTAACTCAAATGAGGTATCTCTTTCTTACAATATATGGATTTCACTACGTTGTATGCTTCTACAAGGTAAGGTTTAAAACTCAATTAATTCTAAAATGTCATATATTACGTTTTCTAGCCATTAATGATTTACCAACGTTTTACACGTTTAATTATTGTCTAGAATCAGAATTTTTTGGATAAACATTTGAAATAATTTTTGCAAAAGCGTTTCATTGTCTATGTTGAAATCTAGGACGGAGTTCATAACCAATAAACAACTTCATTGAAAGAAACTGATTTATTTGACAGGTCATTAGTTTGAAGCATGTTTAAATAATAACAAAAAGTAGAAGCATTAAGAATACTCACTGATATCTGTGTTTATTGGGTGCATTAACAAAAGGTTAGTAATTTGGGTTATTAAAATGGTCACTTACTTGCTACAACGTGTGACCAACACAATGTTAATGTGTCTTGTAATAACCAAATTACTTTGTTGTTTCTTTTTCAAATGTTGCACCTTCTGTTCATAGTTTAAAACTCAGATTTATTCCCATCATTGACGAAGATAATGGAACGAGCACTTTAGAGATCCTCCTTTCCCTATTTATAAATAAGGCTTCATATAATTGTGCTGTTTACTCAACTCAGTGGTTTTTTATTTGAGCCATATTGTAGGATCATCATCTAGGTTTTTTTATTTTAACCCGTAATCCTAGTATCAATTAATTTTTTTAATTTTCTACAAAACGGTTTATTGGTTCTTTTAATATATTTGTGCAATGTTTTGTTCGTCCTGAGGTCAAGAAAACAGTCACCAAATAATATCATAATATGGAAATGCAATCCGAGATTCATTATTTTGTTTTGAAATATGTTCTGTTCATAAACCCTGATTTCTGTTGATCACCCTGTTGACGAAAAATCACTAATCAGCGCTTCAGATGATAGAATACTTGGATGTCCTCATGTAGTTGTCTTTATACGATCTATGATAATGTGTAAATTAGTTTTGTGCTTTATAAATCATTACTTTCGACGTATGAGACCATTACGTAAATTTGACTAATTCTATCTAGTGTAGTGCATTGAAAAAACCTGTTGATGTGGGAAAGATAGGATTAAGTTCCTAATATTAAATTGGAAGCTGTACCTGCGACAATTGCACATTCTGTAACGACTCGGATGGTCCTACAATAACAAATTAATGTTTATGCATATGTGTGTATATCGATTACTAGTATATCTGTTGTGTATGCTATTTATGCTGACAGATATAAGTAGTATGTAGCAGCAATTGAGAATGGAATGTCTGCTAGCAGAAGACTGAATTGAAGAGAAAAGGGAAATAGGGAGCAATTGTAGTAACTACATGAGTGGGAGAACCATGAAGCATGTGAAAGACAACTGAAGGAAGGTGTTCAAATATTGTATTGAATGTTTGGTTTTTATATGTTACAATCGCACTCTGTAATTTTGCATTAAAGAGTAAATTAGTTTTCCCCAACTGAGTCTCGTTCACTACTTTTCTGTTTGTTTTCTTCTAGGACAAGAAGGCAGATTATTCTGTTTTTCGTCACGCACTTTGTGCTTAATGTATTGGTTTATGATTTTAATTGTACACGCTATATGGCAGGCTGATTTAACAGCATTTCTAACAAAAAACAATCTTGAGCTTCCAATTAGTTCGTTAAAGGACTTGGCACACAATGATAAGATTATAGTATTAACTATGAAAGGAACTAGTACTTACAATATGTTTCAGGTAAGAAATAATATAACCAAATTATTTATTACAATTGCATATTTAATTGAGATATCAGCTTTGACAACTGACTAGTTTCCTTTCATAAAATAAATCATGTAATTAAAATTCACTAATTCCTTGATATAACCCATTTATTAGAAAACAATGAAGTCTCATTCCTACTGGAAATAATTACATCCTCATTAACTGAACACAAAATTCAAATTTAGTAAGATTAGTGTTGAAACTGAGCATTTTTCATCGAGTCCAATACTAAATTATTCCTTTTTAAACGGCATTATATTCGTTTTTAATTATCATCCTTATGAGGATAGCAAACTGTTATTTTCTTTTGTAAATATTATGATCAACTCATTTTCAATTGGATGACCGCCATTTACGTGCTTTCACTTCGTATCATAGTCTGACTCTTGGGGGTGAGAATAAATGTCAGCAAAAATTTTCTCACTGAATATCGTGTACAGCTTTATGATATTTAAATAAGGTATAAAGTTGCTGGAAATAGTTTTGGGCTAAACTAAAGCAGTATACCGATATGTTGTCATGTAACCGCATCTATGGACTACAGTTTCTTTACAGAGGACTCAAATGTCGAGTACCATGTAAATAATAGTTAAAATTCATCGTCTGTTACAAAGAATACCATGGTCTATATTTACGTTGTCAGTACAATATTTCCGATTTCGAAGCTTATAATAATAAAATATGTATTCTTGTTTGAATATTTACCACACTGTCATACTGGTTACCTTTGTACTTTACTTGTTTACCCTTAGTTGACAAATGTATCAGTAACTTTTCACTAACCATTTACTGACAACGGCATCATAATTATTAAACGTACTGCGGAAAAGATTTTTAACCAATTTAGAATGGATATAAATGGTTGAAATGTATCATAAGGTCTAAGTTTGTAAATAAACTACGCATTTTTAAACAGAAATTTACGGATGATGAGCAGATTTACAACATTTTTTCAATGTGAGCTCTTTGAGGATAAAACTATTTTCCTAATTCAATTAATGTGAACATACTACTAGTTCAAATGGTTCAAAAATATCTTACTAAAATTTTCAACATCTTTACAGGCAACCACATAAATTGAGAAAATTGATGTTTATATTCAGCGTTGTTAGGTGTATTTTTTACAGATAATATTCATCTACTCCTTTGTAATTATTTTCAATAGGTCTCAGTAAATAATACATTTTATGAATCCATATATAGAAAGCTGGTTGCAAATCCTGTTAGTGTATATAGTACAGACGAAGCAGTGAAGCTGGTGATAAAGTTTAATAATTATGTCTATATAACTGAAAGATTATTTCTTATAAGTGTACTGCAATCAGAGGAATATTCAAATCTGGAAGTGATAGAAGAGCCTGGGATTGTAGCTGCTCTTGGATTCGCTGTGCAACTTGGAAAAGAGTATGCAAAACCTATGTCATCTTAGTACGTTTAATAAATATAGATCAGTTAATTATAAATGAATAGTGTACTTGATTTTCATTGTTACGATATGCCAGATATTCTTTTACTCAATAATGTCTTGCGATAAATATATGAATATGTAAACCTCTGGTTAGTGAAATTGTTGACTTTTAGTATTTCTTAATTAATAAGTGATTACTTCTAATAAGAAAAGAGTTTCCTCAGCTTGCTACCAGTGGAGTGAGCCGTTTAATAAGCAGAAAAAACTTAGTGTTTTGAAAAAAATTCTGTAGATGTTAGAGATTTCTATTTCAGAACTGTGTATTCCTAACATAAAAGATTTAGCCATTACCAATGTTATTTAAATCTATCAGATCAGATCTACTGTTTCTTTTGTAACGAAACAAAGTGAATGTGTATCATTTGAAAATACAAATTTAATCACATACGTTTAGTAAAATTGACTGAAGAAACAGTAACTCCAGAATTTAATCCCTAAAATGTCAATAATTTCTGTCTTATCACATCAGTAATTGATTGTTATATCAGGAATTGATTGTACATTATTTATTAATGAAAAATATGATTTTGCCAATGTTTATTTTGTCAAGTATGCTAACTTTGAGAGAGCGAGGCATAATCAACAAATTCATGGTAAAATGGAATATGACTTCTGATGTTGATCCCATGGATGTGCAATACCAAGCTCTGACAATATGGAATGTCGCCGGGGCATTCATCGTCACCTCAGTTTTTACTGGGATAAGTCTGCTTATTCTACTCGCTGAATGTATATGGTATAGATGGGGAAATAGAAAAAATATGGACACTAACAATAACAATAATAATAATGGTAGATAATTCACTAATACAGTTGACGAAAAAAGAATAATTCTTGGTATATTGCTTCGTATTCTTTTTTTTAATGATTTTATGCAATTTACATTGAGAAAACCAATAAATTTTACAAATCTGTCTTATTACATGGTTTAGCTTCGGCTGTAGACACGCTTTTAAAGTAATACACGATTATCGTAAATGGCGTTTCTCTGCTTATCGCTAATTTAATGTCAGGTAAACACTGAATAACAAAGCATCGGTTGGGCACAAAAATATCTTGCCTTTCATTCATTCATTGGGAAAAACATGTTTCAACACGATGATTTGGAATAATTCAAGTTCATAAAACCAGAAACTTTAGAAATTCGAATTACCATTTCATTTGAAAATTACATATAATTCATTTGTAATTCAATAAAAAGTTATGAACAAGTGGAAAATAAATCAAAAGTATAATAGAATAAAGCTCAAATTAACTAAGTAGCAAGAAGTTCAGAACAACGAATAATTTAATTAATAAAAGATATTAATTTAGTTACAAATAAGAATAAGAAAATTCTGGCCATATAAAGAGATCTGTGACAACGGCTTGTGTGAAACAAACTTTTATTTATATTACTCAAGGGGTTTATCCGGTTAGTGTTCTGACTACTCCACCGTTACCAATCTTACTTCTCTCCAAACATTAACTGATTTTTATATTGATCGTTTTAATCTTCCCTTTGATGTTAAGGACTGCAATTGATCAGTCTCTTATTGGTATATATGCATCCTGTACGGATAGCCTCAATATTACTTTAAGTCACTAGTATTATAAGCACGATGGCGTTTGCAGCGAACGACACCGGGTTCGAGTCCCGTAGTGAGCGTCAACCGTTGGATGCAGGTCCATCCAGATGATAAGTCCCAGATGGAACCAAACGCGCTTCCTGGATTCCATTGCTAGTCGCCATCCATCTCTCCAAACATACAGTTTCAGAAATACGTGTAGAAATAAAACTGAAACATTTCCCTTAGTATTTTCCAGTGCACTTGTTTCAGTGAGTTTATTTTCACTAGGTACTGTAACTTAAGACTGTTTATTAACCTGCAAATTTTATTTTTATTGCCCTATTCAAAATTCTAGAGAAAATGTAATATAATCGATAAATTTTAGGCAGAAGAACATATACTCCAAGATAAACAAATCTAATAGATAAGGCAATGACAAAGGAATGAAGAAACATATAATAATAATTGAGTGGTTCGATGTCACTTTATATTTCTTTCACCGGTAAACAGATTTCTATCACGTATTAGTTTGCTTCAAATCGATGATCTTACCTATAGTAAACATCGGTTGCCAATCATTGGGATTGGTTCAATTCAGATAATATCTTCCTTTCTCAACAAGTATTGCTTTCCCTTGTATTACCACTAATACAGCCTCGAACTTTTGCTTCGTGAACTATATTGAGTCTTAATATTCTTTCCCTATCAGAATTATTTAGGAGCAATTTAGAAAAAAAGACTTAAATACGTAATTGTAATGAAAATTAAAAAAATGTATTAAGTAGTTCTATATGACCACAAGGATGCGAGTATCAAAATTAACATACAATATTAGCGTTTGGTGTCATGTCCAATTTTGTATCGCTGAAAAAATGGATATGACTCTGAGAATAAGTTTCCTCAGTCGATTAGTTTGAGACTGAAAATAGTTCAAAGGTTAGTTGAATGAAAGCGTCAGTAGACAACCAATGAAGTATATATATAATAAGTATATAATAAAGAGTCATTGTGAATAACTTAACCAGAGACACTTTTACTTATTTTTTGATTCTATCCCACCATCACGCAGTTACTTTCTGATAATGAACAAAAACAAATTATATCAGGTGCTTTGATAATTAAACCTTATTGGTTAAAATATACTGAGAATCACAAGGACAAGGGTTATGCTTATTCATCTCCAAACATTTGACAGCAAAAACTAAGCTTTTGAATAATTAATGAAATCTGTTAGGGTTGCTAATCTGTTCGCGTATATGCCAAATCATAATTAATCTAAACACATACAGAAAAACATGGGAGTTGATACTGAATATACAGAGTTTCATTGTACTTACGGCTTTCCATATAACCGTAAATATGGTCATTTTGTAGAAGCAGCTAAAATCATTGTCAGAATGCCATTTCTGCCTAGTTATAAAACGACAAACGCGCTCCAGTTTCATTGCAAATATAAAGTTGAATACTCCCAGTAGCCAGATATAATTCTTGGTCTAACTGGTGAAATATATACCACAATTCAAATCGAATTTTGGTCATATCTTATATATACGTTTATATTTAGCGTGATCCATAAAGAAAAGCTCCAATTCAACATCTAAATTGTTCTATTAAAATGATAAGGTACAATGCATTACCAACATTTTAATAGAGAATCATGTTCTAAAATAATGATTTTTAAAAGTTGCAAATCCGTCCGTAATAAGGTAAGAAAGAGCAGTCCCCTTGAAAAAGTTGTTTATAGTGTTCTGGTTTACAAGTGAGTATACTGTCCCTTGCATAATGTAATTCTCGACATACACATGTAAGAAGCAGACCGTCTGACCAACGTCACATGCCAAGCCACCAATCATAATCCTGATTCTAATTTCGTCTGTAATTTACTCTAAAGCTTAGTGTCTCTGACTTGGTCAGTTGCACGTTCCACCATGACTACTGACCTTGAGCCGACCGCTAAGCTCCTATTGGTTCACTATTTCCAAACTCCTCCCTACCCTTTGCTTCGGAGCCAAAAGTAGCAACCGTGTTCTACGATATTTATATTTTGAATAGAAATGGTCTATACACAGACATATCAGATCGCATAACACTATAAAATGAAAAAACAAGTTATACGTGAATACGCGAGAAGTGGTTATGAATAGGTGAGACCATAAGTAATCCAATGGCAACAAATTAAGAATAGTAAATCATGTAGCCGTAATTTATAATTCAACTGAAAGCTTATACCAAATGGAGTACATATACACAACAGTCTAGTTAGTTAGTAATTATACAACAAAGTTATAATTCTTAAAACTCCGAAAGCTTATTTTAACTTCGACACTATTCGTCCCGTTATAAGATTCATAAATTAAGTATGCACATCAATGGATTCTTGTGCTTGTGTAATTTATAGGTTTTGTTTTGCATTCATTCATCGTAATTCCTGAAGATTTCCTAAAACAGATATCTTTTTTACTATTTCGCTTTCTCTTATTTCCAGCACTTTTCCTTATATTATATGTTCATTCTTGCTCATTGTTTTGGTTTGTTTGATATTATCATTTTTATTTCTTCCATTATAAAATTTCATTTGTATAAGCTATCTGACTATTTAGTAAGATTCAGTGGGAGAAGTGAAATCCATCATCATAAGAACGTTTTTAACTGATAACGAAATACTTTAGGAGTATTTCTACAGTCTCTATAATCTAATTGAGAGTCGATGCTTGGAGATCGCTTGATGTAATCTTACTGGATATAAGTAGGTAAAGCTGAGCTAAACTTTAAAGTGAATGGTTAACGGGTGAACTGAGTCAAGGTCACAGTGTATTTATTAAAATAGAGTTAGGGGTCAGTGTTAGAAATTCGAATTGGAAATTAAGGTTTTGTACAACAATTGACATCAATTTTAATGCAAGCATCTCAAACTGCATACCCTGAGTGCTAGTCTTAATGTAATAATAAGTAATTTATCAAGCACTTCAATCTGCTGATTGGGTTAACCGGTTGAGATCTCAAAGTCATCGAGCGGTATGGCTCAGCTATACATAGAAATCGATTCAGGAGAAGGTGAACAAGTACATAAATAATCTTCATTCAAATAATAACCCTAATTTAAAAATTGGTAACAGTTAAATATTCATATCATCACTTAATGTTATGAATGTGACGTCAGTAAATATTTACAGAGGAGATTCGCCAGTCGGAATACTTTTTCGTTTATGACTAAGCGTCCTGGCTAAGTTCTAGTCAGTGATACCTCTCGACCGATATGATAAACCTTGAGATAATCTTGACTCCCATTGATTAGTACGCCTTTATCCTTAATCTTGAGTCCCATAAAAAAACAGCATGCAAGATTCTGTTATTTATATTTCGGGTACCCAGTATGTTATTTTAAAATTCATTGCTTTATGTACATAAATTATTAGACCTCAGATAAAAAAATAATACTTTACATACAAACATTCTATACGTGGTAAAGAACGAAGCACACAATATGTAACTAAAAAGCAATGATCAAGGAAAAATAAAGTGTACAACGGCAGTCACTTGGTACAACGGAAGCTAACAAAAAGGGGAATAAGGTACGTAGTAGTCCAATTATTTAATAATCATACAATAAAAACATAAACAGTAACATTCGATAAAGTAATTCTGAAAATTCCAAGATCTTCAATACTCGTGTGGTTGTAACGCATAATTACAAATTTGAGTCACCCACAGGTAATGTACGCTGAATAAAACCAAATCTGATCAGTTGATTCTCTGAAATATTTCCTAGCATTGTGCTTTTTTCGATCAATATTTTACTCTTATTGGTTTAACTTGCTATAAATGTATTCCCTGCTCTGAAATGGTGAAAACTGAGACTGGAACTGATCATATGTCTCGTCTGGTAACCTTTTTGCAAAATTGGTTCGAATGTTGTTGAACACTTAATAAATACAACGCATGTTATGTAACCTTTATTGATTGTAATCGGAGTAGTCTGTACAAGTAGGAACAACTACTGATTACTAATTTCTTAGCGCATTATTTACAATAGCAATTCATCTCAGATGTTCGTGATAGATTGTACGTATTTTATAACCAAAATTATTGACATGAAGCGTTAATTGGAACAGAATTTCTTCTTACTAAAATTTGAAACACCTTGTTTTTCCTGATTTGCCCTATATCATTTATAGAATTTTTATTGATGGTTGGAAGCTATTTGTCGTTTTCATGTTTATAAATCGACTTTCAGCATTTACAATCGATTATTTCCTCAAAATTTAGGGGGCCTGCTGAGACCAGTTGAGTTACATACTCGACAAAATGCAAGTAAAGTTGAAAATTGATTTCATAGTGAACTCTGTGAACCCATATCCTAAACCAAATCCACCATGAGAGTTCATTATTTGAATCAGATATCTTTTGGCGGTTTCTGGCCTAATAGCTATTCTCTTTATTCAGCAATGTGATATGGATTCAAATATCTTCATGAGGGATTATACGGTTTACAAGGGAGTAGCTACAAGTTTGGGAACTTTCGCAGCTGTTAGTTTTTACTTGAATTTCACCTGAGCTGATGGTAAATTATTCAAATTTACTAAGCAAAATCTTTAAACTGAAACCACTTCTTGTGCTAATCTAAGATACCGTGAAGTTTATTTAATCTATTGAATTTTATAGTGACACTTAAATTGTACGAACAGATTACGAATTAAAGTGTTAGAGTCAGTTCCATAAAGTATAGAAATCTTTACTTTATAGATATTTTAAGATGCGTTTATGATTTTAAAATCAAGTTTGAATTTGCACCGTATATGAAACTTTACTTTATATCCATTTGTTCAGTTACATTTCACAATAATACAAGGTAAACGTTCAGTGTCAAGTGTACAAAGTAATATTTTACGTTTTATCAACTTGGTACAAATAGTTCGATCGTGTTAATTGAGCATTAGGATATTTTAATTGTTTCCCGGTAAATTTTGCTGCGACTAATTTTGTGAGAACTCAATAATTATAGATAAAAGAAATCAAATTATTGGAATATTTGTGCATCTAACTTCAACCAATCCACAATATTGAGCAACCATCTTCCATCGTCCTCCAGGTTTTCAGTGGTGGTTAAATACTGATCGGTTCATAATCTCAATAAAAACCAGAAAATCTCCACAACCTTATAGCGATAAAACATTTGTGCTTGTAGTTCACTCAAACCTTTCAAGTTAAAAGCTCCTTCTGTATTTATATTAAATGATTCACTTTACCAAACTATTTATATATCCTTTCTTCATTAGGTCTACGTTGATTATATCTTAGAGTACTTTGGTCATAAAATGTATTTTTTGAAACTGAAATGGAAACAAGTTCAAATACATGAATACAACTAAATATGAATTGTGCCCTTAATGTGAACAACGAATTAAAAATCTTTTCTCTGAATCTTGTAACCTTTTAACTGTTCGGAGTTTTATTTTATCGAAGCCCGACTAGCCACTAACTTTCTGATCGTGATACTTTTTATCTTATCTGATTCGCAAAAAGCTAATCAGTGTTATGAATAGGGGAATAAATGGGAATGGGGAATATTGGAAGCTGTTCTTCCGTGAACCAGGATATAAATTCCCGATGTAGGTTTGTCCAATAATTAAGTAGGGATAGTCTGGTTAATTAACTAATTATATGCTTCCATTAGCCGTTGCTACATATTTTTTTATTCCTAGATTACAGAAAACTAGTCGTAAAGCTACTACTCAGTTTTTTTCCCATAAAAATCCTGGTTACTGCACACAATGAGATTTATCGTTTGCGATAGAACATGGTCTTGTTTGTTATGTTTGTTATAATTACATGACTTTCAAAGTATAAATAGTACAGAGTAGTATTATGTACTCATGGCGTTCTCCTGGAGTTTTAATAGGTAGTTTGAAGAACGGACTACTGATCATTTTAACAAGTACAGTTATCAATGTTTGGGAATCCACTGAAAATAGTACATAAGTAGGGAAGAAACATTAAGTTCAAACGACTTGTTTAAAAGGTTCTCAGTTATACTCGTGTTCTTCATATCAAAAACAGCTGAGTTTTACGTGTTAACATAGATTTTCTCACTATTTTCGACATGATAGAGTGAAATTCTGAAATCGGTAAATACTGCATTTGTGGGGCGCGTGTTTGTTCTTTTAGCCATAACTTAATTCAACCATCAGTTTGGAGTTATTTTACGAACTGTACAATAGGCCCTGGACATTTTTCACGTTACCGGACATGAACAAAATGTATTCATGAATCTAAATAAAAGTTGATGCATCTCGTAACTCTTTAGAGAAATGACTGATTACAGTAATCAAAATCAATATTTAGTTCAGGAAGACAACAAACCGGGTAATGCAAACATACAGGTAAGCAGTCATGTGTACGTAAAACTCGGCAAATGAGTAGAAGTTAGTAAGTAGTTATATGAGAATAAGGAAACGGTTGATGGGATCAATAAGGATACGTGAAAATGTAGATAAATAAGGGTTAGTAGCTAATCCTGCTGATTCGTACAAAATAACTAACAGGATAAAAGTTAGATTGTACAGCTGTCAGAGGCGACTAATTTTCGATAAATATAAAGTATTTCAGCATCTTTTAAGTGCCTGGTACAGTGATAACCGAGTGGTACGTATGACTGTAAAAATTGACGTTGGATGGTATATTCAACTGCCTTTTAACAGTATATACACCAGTCGTCCTGACATAGTATGTGCAGGGTACTGGAACCTCACTCTAGTGGTGCTTTTCAGGTGATGAGAGAGACTGATGCAATAACTACAGCACAAAGATCTACAATCAGGGAAGATTCAAATAATTGTAAACTTTGACCGACCTACATTGATGAACCAACCTCATTTACAACATCACTATTGTGACTTTAAGCCCGGCTGGTTGTCACGCGATTTGCTCGCCAATCGAGATACGACTTATCCAATCTTAGTACTATGCTAAACCAATGACGTTCGACCGGTATGAGCAACCTGGAGTTATTATTGGTCCTTTGTTCGCCTAGTCGATCCAGTTGAGTCTAGAGCATCAGTACAGCTTCTACTATGCGAATCATTTATTTCAAACATACTTGATTTATATACCAGCCAAACAGACCGTATCATACCATAAAATAGGAAATAACATTTATACAAGATCAAGCCAAGAAGTGGCTGTGAACGTGGGAGACGGTAGTTAATAAACGGAGTATAGCTTAAGAACACTAAATCGTATAATAATAATCTATAGGTCGAAATGAAGCTTATTATAAGAGCAATATAAATATATGTAATCTAGTTACTGAACAGTTATACAATAGGAATAGATATAATATTAGTCCATTAATAGTTCTCAGAAGTTACCCGTAATTTAATCTTCGCTGGAATGTAACAATCATGGAGGAAAATAAGCAATTAAAACAATGCACCAGGACAAAAGTAATCACGAATCCGATCATTTGACCATTAATTACGTCCAATACTTTCCCGAGTGTAAGTTTATTTATCAATATTTTTTTCAAATTAATAACCTTTATCACATAAATTTTGCACAAATATCGGTAACATATATCACCTGAATCTATGTAACATTTTGATTTATCATTTTCTCAATAGTTAAATAGGAAGATAGCTGAGTACAATTAAACGTTCAATCTATTTGTGATAAATTCATAAGCATACAATCGTTTTCACCAACGAAAAACGTAACATGAAAGTACAACAGCATTTTGTCCTGTATCCTTATATGCTTGATAAACAGGAAAAATTCTAAGAGCGCCTTTCAAACTATGTTCCCAAGACATTCTTAATAATCTGGATAACTAGACGATCTATTTGGGAATGCAATCATAAATTATGAATTTTTCAAACAAATTAGTTAAATTACAGATTCTATTCGAATTATATCAAGCAGACTGCAGTTCATCACATTAATCTATGCATTAGCTTGCAAAATCACATAAAAAATAACTTCATTAAAAATTTATTGAACGAATATATCCATACACAAACTTAAGTTGCTTTCTTGAAACAAATAACAAAAAAAATAAAGGATGAGGGAGTAATTGACTTTGTACAGAATGTAACACACATTTGTTTGTTATATTATTAACGTAACTGCATATAAATTATTCCTGGATTCACTTTTACATGCATTTACACTAAATGGCATCACTAATATTCGGTAAAAAATATCAACAACTCTATGAAGACGGTTTATTTTCTTTATCTTCTTCGTTCACACACTCAATCATATGCTCTGATTCATTTGTGGCCACCACTTCAGCAGGGACGATATCACCAGAATGTGCTTGTTTCATGTAGTAATATAGACCTCTATGAAACAAAATAGTGACGAGGACATGGTTTTAGACATATATAGTCAGTTAGTTTGTGGGAAATTACATTGACACATAAGTTTATTCGTTATTTGCCAGTAAATCTTGAACGCAGAATGATTTTATAGGTTTCTCTTTTTTAATTTCCTTTATTTTTCAAATTACTTTTCTGCTTATTTATGGTCATTTACTGATATCCTCGACGCCATTTTCACACGTTTGCTTTGATTCCTATTTATTTCCTGTGGGATGTATTAACTTGAACCCGGTACACATCTGTCCCAGATTCCATGTTTTCTGTTCCGTATAAAGTAGTTTCAAAAGTTCTTTAATGTGAACGGGAATTTTCCTAGTTGCTGTCCATAAAAAATCGGGTACGAGTGTATATGAGAAATAATCAGGTGTTGATATTAATATTCAGAGTAACAAGTCAATAACATTGGTCATATGTAAAAGTTTGCACTAACCGTTTGTGTTGCGCTGACAAAAGAATAAGTAAACAATAAATGGTCACACATATAAACAACAGTAATTAATTTTAGTAAACACTTACGCATCAGTCTGTTGTTTAGGGAATAGAACACGTTCAACTGCACCGGAAGGCATACATATATCGTGAATGGGCTGATCATGTTTGAATAGTTTATGAGTAACAATCCGAGGCAATTGGTCAGGTTCAGGTTTTACGACTGGGACTTGATGTCTTCGCCAATCCCCCTTTGATACAACCAAATAAGAAATGAGCTCGCTAGACGGTTCACTTTTGAACTGAAAATCAATAACATTAGAAAATACTACCGTTTGAATTGAAGGAAAATGAGCGAAATAGTTCTATATAACTTAGTGTGAAACAATACAGGAAGGTATAAAATAAACAGTCGGGTGCACAGTAAAAAACAATGATGATGAGACACTATCTTGTTGAGTGTACAGTAACTACACGATTTAAATGTGAGCTTTACACATAACAAAGAGTTGAACATTAACTTGATAATGTATAATAACTGTGTTCAGTGTATCTGAACGAAAATGCTATTGATCGACAAGTTTCATCATAAGAAATATTAACAACTTCATAATAAATATATTTTTGTTATACCCTAATGAGTAGAAAAATCGTATTTCTGATGTTTCGCGACTTAATGTAAGCCACTTCTTCAGAGTAAATAGTCTCAATAGACATCAACAATTTCCTAACATCAGACTTGACATATAACTAATTTATCCCTTCTAAAAGTCAACAAGATAAATAATTCAACAAAATATTTTTAAAAATTATAGAATTCGGTCAATGGTTCTCCTATTTCTTTGTTCAATATCAAATAAATGAATACTTACTCGCGTTAATCCAAAGTTGTAATATCGTACAACAATGTTACAGTTGGAATCCTTTTTTCCACAAGTCTGCACATGAGGACACTAAAAATAATTATAAAGCATTAACAATTCATTCTAATATACGGGATTTCGTTTGCAATATAATTGCAGAAATATGTCAGTAATGATATTGGAAAGTGGAGAGTGTGATGTAGCAAATTGCAACTGAAGAAATTCGGCTTAATAGGAACTGAGATGCCATTGGAGTACTCTTCATTTTCAAGCAGCACATGGTGAACTAAGGTACAACAGTTAGGAATCTTTAATGAAGTTTAGTACTAGAACTACTAGTAGTAGGACAAAATACATTATTTCTACTCCCACAACTGATATAATATAAGAATATTTAAAGGTACAGCCATTAAACTAGTCTATCAAATGACTAGTTTGAAAATTTTAAACTTCTATGGAAATAAATGGAATATTTATCAGCAGCAGTAACTCTCAACAAAGTCGAGTGTGCGAAAGTTGTTATATATAGAAACTACAAACAAAGTTGCACAAAACAAATAACGGAATTTTAGCACTTTTAAAAGTTCAAAATTAATACTAACGATTACTTACTGGACTGAAAATATGAACATCAGGTCCCCCATTTGTGCGCTGGAAAAAATTTTTAAATAACGCGCTTGAATGCTCTTTTAATAAAGTGTGGAGAGCGATTATTACAGTTGCGTGGTAAAATAAGCAGTGTTATATGATCTTAAATAATTGTTAAATTTTAACATACAAAAGATTACAAAAGATTTAACATGAGCTTATGGGACCAGGTAAACATTTCGCACGATCATAATCAGGAAATATATAAACTATAAACTTGTCATTTACGGAGAAAATATTAACACATTTACCAATCAAAAACTATTACTCAGAATTCAAAATAGCTAGTAAATTGGAATTGTTTCTCGCTTTTTCCAATTTTTTCTTATTAAGAGAAGTGATGTCTACATACAAAGATCCACCTAAATAAAAATAACACGGAATAGGCAGTTAATTGAATTCTCTACATTGTTAAATCTTGGGAGAAAAAAGGGAATCTATCTATTTCTCATCCCTGATATTTTGAATATCGATTGCAAAAACATAATATTTTTCAAAAGAAACTAATTTGAAAACTATTTAAAATAGAAAAGATGGAATATGGTAAGTAGTGGAATCCGGAACGCACGTTTCGTCTTGTTTGGGACTCGTCAGTGGGCTGTACCTGCATCCCAGAACTAAAGAAACGAGTGGAAAACATTAGAGTTGATGAGCAAAAATATATGGAAGACATAGCAATGACAGCAGAAAAGTTGTAAGATAACGAAGTATGGGAGAACTATATGGTACAACCAAAAAGTTAGTAGGTGAATATAGTGAACCAAAGCAACCAGTCACGGAAAAATAAGGAAAATCAATCACTGCGGTTCAACAGCAGAGGAACAGGTGGGTAGAGCACTTTAAAAAGTTCTTGAGTAGATTGGCCCCACTGAATCAACCGGACATCGAGGCGGTAAACAAAGACCTCCCTTATGTGTCACCTCACCAACAACAGGAATCAGTAAGGCCATTAGACAAATCAGAAGTGGGGAAGCAGCAGAACCAGATAGCATACTAGATGAAGCCCATAAAGTCAGATATAGTGGCAACTGCAAACATGGTACACATTCTTTCCCTAAAGATTTGGAAGAACATGTACCAACACACTGAAAAGGGGTACACCTAATCAAAATACTAAAAAAAGGAGATCTTAGTAAGCGTAAGAAATACGGAGACATGACACTACTGTCAGCACCAGGCCAAATTTTCGGTAGAGCGTTGCTAAACTGGGTGGAAAATTCAGTGAAAGCCCAACTTCCAAACCCATAAGCTGGCTTTCGAAAGAATCAATCATGTACTGTCTAAAGCGCGACACTGTAGATCATTGTTGAACAATCAGTAACCTGGAACTCATTGCTATACATCAACTTTCTTGATTATGGAAAGCCATTTAACAATGTGGCTAAGAAAACCTTGTGGGATCTTCAACACTATGGATTACCTGAGAGAACCATTACTATTATACGGAACTCCTACAATGAACTAAATTACAGATCCGTGCATAGACGGCAGTTCACAGATGCGTTTCAAGTGAAGAGTGATCCAACCCAAGACTGCTTGCTCACGCCTGTTGCCTATCTCCTAGTTGCTTACTCAATTATGAAGACCAAATCTTAGAGGAAGCACGGAATACAGTGAACACCATGGATGCGGTTGGATGATTTAAACTTTATAGACGATCCATCCCTTCTAAAGCACACAGTAAAAAACGAAAGTGACGACAACCATGGTACCAAAGTGTCTCAGCATCCACAAGGGTAAAAATAGGATCCCGCGACACAATACAATGAGCAGCTACCAAGTCACCTTTGATGAAAAGTATCTCGAGGAGGTGAAAACCTTCACGTATCTGGCAGGAGAATCTGATGAAAATGTGAATGTATGGATAAGCAAAGCAAGGGCAGTGTTTCGATGATTGAAGAACATCTGGAACTCAAGACAACGGTCGGTAAACACAAAAGTCAGAATTTTCAATACACAAACCAAGAAAGTTCTATTGTATGTCGTCTAAAGTTGGAGAACAACTGAAATCATCATTAAAAAAGTACAAGTATTTATAAACAGCTGTCTGTGAAAGATATCCCAGATCAATTAGAGAACGGCCATCAGTAATCACTTACACTGGGAGAGAACAAATCAGCTTACAACTGAGGAGAAATTTAGGAAAAGACACTGAAGGTAGACTGGTCACAAATTGCGGAAATGATCGAACTACATCACAAAGCAAACCTCAACATGAAATCTTCAAGGCGAAACGAAAAGCAGACCAAAGAATATATCGCCCCGGGAATGGGAGATAGATATCAAAAGCATAAAGAAAGGGAACTGGAAAAAAAAGAGACCAAAACAATGTTTGTTGATGATTCTTGATCAATGGCCTATTTTTCAATAAAGGTAACAGGCCTAAGAAAGTAAGTCAACAATTCAATACACCTTATGTAATCCTAACTTATGATTTGCTCCCATAATTATTATGATATTTCACTGCTAACACTTGTTTTTCGACAATAGAGTGACACATTTACTGTTTGTGTATGAATGGGAAACTTGAAAATAAATTCATTAAGGATTTGCTTCTCTAATTTTTGTAGTGCAAGGACAAATTTATTGATTCTTAAATTTAGATAATAATTTTCATAATTAGTAAGCAATTTAAAAAATCAAATTGACAAACCAAAAAGTCCCTTGCTTCAAGTATTGCCTGAAATCCGGACTTTGTTCCTTGTTCAATAAAGATCAGAAAATCAGTTGTTTTCTCCCACAATGATGAAATAACACGTGAACGAGAAGATTTGCATGGGATTTCCAGTAAAGTGTTAGCACAGACTACCAAATTATATTGATTCTTTTTTATGAAGAAAAAATGAAATCGACGAAACAGTAGAATAATTTTGTTTGTGTTCTTTCTTTAAAAAAGGCTACGGAAGTTTGATTTAGTAATCATGGTAATAAACATGGTTTGAATTAAAATCAAACAAAAAGCTAACAAATAGCAGCATAAATACTGAGAAATTGGGATTTATAGGGTAGAGCAAACTATATTACAGACACGTTTCACTCCAAAATAACATTCGAACGATACTTAAACAAGCACTTTTTCGAAGATGACAACTAGATGCAGAAAACAGAAAACTTGATGGAGTTCCAACTATGATCAAAGAGAACTAAGCACTTAAAGAATTTCAGTAACGTAAATGAAGCATTTCACGTGATCAACTTTACACAGCAAAAGTGATGCCATACTGTTCCCTGGAACAATAATTTAACCTTTTGTGGTAGTATCTGACACATGATATGATAGTTATCACAGAAGTTTATAGTTTACACCACCTTCTGACTTTGGATTATAGTAAACCCGAAATATGTGTGAGTTTGGTTGAACACATGTCTGCACCTCAATCTTTATATATCTTCCCACTGGTTGTAAACACGAACAACCAATAACTTACCCGCAATCGATAACTTAATTAAGCCTGCTACCCCTTGTGGAGAAGCACAGACTGCTCAAGGAGCATTCTTCATACAACTCTGTCCTGGGCAATCCTTTTCAGTTGCTATTCAACCTTTCCATGTCCGCTTCCCATTCTCGAAGCAGTGTATTCTTTGGCCTTCCTTGTTTCTGTTTGCCATGACAATTCCAAGTTAGAGCTTGCATCGTGATGCAGTTTGGTGATTTCCACTATGTATGTCTTATCCACCATCAATGTCTTTTCCTAGTTTCCTCCTTAGTTGGAAGCTGGTTTATTCTCTCCCACAGTAGGCTGTTGCCGATGGTATCCGATCGACGGACACTGAGTACCTTGTGTAGACAATTGCTTACAAACACTTGTACTTTTTGATGATGGTTGTGGTATCTCATCAAGTTTCGGCTCCATACAGTAGAACTATCTTAACGTTCGTATTGAAGATTCTGACTTCGGTGTTAGTTGACAGTTGTTTTCAGTTCCATATGTTATTCAACTGTAGGAATGCTGCTATCGCTTTACCAGTCCTTACCTTTACGTCTGCATCAGATCCTCCTTGTTCATCAATGATGCTGTCCAAGTACGTGATTTTTCACCTGTTCCAGAGTTTGTCCATCAAATGTGATTTAGTTCGCGATCTCCGTATTGTATTTGAGGATCTTTCATTTTCCTTTATGAATGTTGAGACCTACTGATGCAGAGGCTACTGCTACACTGGTTGTCTTGACCTGCATCGGTTTGTGAGTATGAAACAGAAGGGCCAAGTCATCCGAGAAGTCCAGATCGTCTAGTTGCATGCAAGCTGTCCATCCTATTTCTTGCATCACCACCTCAGATGTAGAGGTCTTTATAATCCAGTCAACCACCAGAAGAAAGAGGAAGGGAGAGAGTAAGTAGCCCTGTCTGACTCTGGTCGTCACTTAGAGTGCGTCTGTCAGCTGTCCTCCATGCACCACTTTGCAATGAATTCCGGATGATATTGACGATTTTCTCAGGTACACCAGTGTCGAAGAAGGTTCTCCCACTGTTATAACTTGTGTGTCCTACTAATGCATAGCGTAACAATACCGCCAATTAGAGAGCAGTGAATTATCGATCGGAGCAATGACGCGTAAAACCCGTAAGAGCAGTCTAGAGTACTTATCGGTCCTGCTTTCCGCCTAGCCCAGCCAGTCAAGTCCAGAACACCAATCTCAGTCTCTGTGATATGAATAGTTTATTTCAACCATACTGGGTTTATAAACCAACCAGACAGAACACATCCTACCATAAAATAGGAAACGACATTTGTACAAGATTTACCTAAAAGTGGCTGTGAGTGTGGGAGGTAGTAATTAATAGACAGGGCATAATTCAAGAATGGTAAATCGTATAATAATAGTTCATAGATCAAAATAAAGCTCATAATAAGAGGGACATGAATATGAATAGTTTAGTTATTTAACAATTATACGATAAAAATATAAGTTAGTATTGGTCTATAAATGGATCCCAAAAGTTACCATTCATTATGCTTATCGGGACATAACACCCACCCACGTTGTCGAACACCTCATAGTCAAGGAAGTTGATGAATGGTGACGATTTTCAGTCAAATGACTGCTCAACAATGATCCTTAGTGTCGCGATTTAGTCTATTCACGACTGATCCTTACGGAATCCAGCCTGTTGATCTCGAAGATGGGTGTCTACTGAATATTTTATCCTGATCAGCAACACTGTTGGAAACTCTTCCTGGTACCATTAGTAGTGTGATACCTCTGTAGCTTCCACATTGGCTCAGATCTCTTTTCTTTGGTATCTCGATGAGATATCCTTCTTTCCAGTCTGTTGGCACTTGTTCCTTATCCTATATCTTCCTGGATAGAAAGTGCAGCATGTTTGCAGCTGCTTCTATGACTGACTTTATTGCTTCGGCTGGTATATTGTCAGGTCCTACTGCTTTCCCACATTTGATTTGTCTGATGGACATCCTGATTTCTTCGATCGTTGGTGAAGTGGTACCTACCGGAAGGTCTGTATGTGCTACTTCGATATCCGGTGGGTTCAGTGGAGCTGGATTATTCAAGAGTTCCTCGAAGTGTTCCACTCATCTGTCCCTCTGTTCTTAAATCTCAGTGATTAACTTTCCTTCTTTATCTTTGACCAGTCTCTCTGCTTTACTATATTTTCCTGCCAGTTTCTTCGTTATATCATAAAGTTGTTTGATATTTCCATCTCATGCAGCTTTTTCGGCTGTTCTTATTGATAATATACTATCCCAACTACTGATGTCCATAGTACTACTAGGACCACTGACCTGCTAAAATACTCAGTTAACGAGGCATCATGTTGTGGTCGAGTGGGGAGGAATTGACCTCTACACGATAACGACTGAAGATCAATGGTTGTCTAAGGTCGGTCCATGATGAAAACTACGAAAATTAAAAACTCACATACCCCCCTATACTGTCATAGAACTTTTTTATGCAGATTTCTGCAAGAAAATGTGTGAATATCTTCAGTTTAATCACATATGTTACATTGTGTATTCAGAAAACTAATAGGTAAATTAGTTTACTTCTACTGACTGAGAATGTGCTTCAAATATGTATCTCCTTAAGCGAAAGAAACCAGTAGCGTAAGAAAAGAAATAAAGTAAGATGAAACAAACTCTTAGTTTAGACTATTAGTCTTGTAAGAACATAGACAAAAAGCAGACAACCAGTCAATAAAAATACTGCTTTTGATTAGAATAGCTTTGATAACCTTCCCAATGTTAATGCTATCAGATTCATATGCAGGAAAATACACAACACAGTCCAATACTATGACCTATAGCAAACCATGTTCATCGATAGCGAAACATATAATTGAAACGGGGCACAAAATTGACAAATCAACATACTCATGTTAAGTTACAGATAAACAATATAAGGTATTCGCTAAAGATGGACGTTATCCAACTGTTTCTGTCTAGGCTTAAATACCTAGAGAATGTTAAAACACAGTTCACATTTTATTAAACTTTAAAAAAACCATACTAACAGTAGTTTGTCCCGACCGTTGTTGCTGCCTTGACGTGGTGGTCGGGCTTGCCTATCGTAATGAAGCAACCGAGCTATACTGGCTGGAACAACCGTTCCTCAAGGTCCTACCATGTCAGACAGGTCGGTTGAAGAGCGGTAAGACTAAAAGCAACAAACCCAAGGTCCGAAGGCGAAGTCGTACTGCTGACTGTACAGAGGTGTGACAGCAGTAAGGTGTTTCCTTCAGACAACCAGCATGACAGCGATGCTGCCTTCCCACAAGGAGGGGTGGGGTTAGAAAAGGTCGACCCTAAAAATGCACACCTCGCCTTATCCCACGGATATCCGTCTCCGGCGGTAAGGTCTCAATAAGTACCCATAACAAGGTCGTGTGTGACCGACCTCAAGCAGTTGTCCCTTGGGCACTGCGGTCACGCTCTCAGGTCACTAAGACCACCTCTAATCCAATTTCCTTTTCAGGTACCTCCAGAACAACCCTTCCACGGTGTGGGCAACCGGGAAGTGAAAACCGCCCTCATACTTCTAACAGCACTCAAGACCACTGTATTCATAATCAACCTCCCTCTTCAATTCCTATTATTCCTCCTACATCGACTTTCCACTCTAAACTTCCTCTTTCGGCTTCCTCCTTAAGTGTCACCATAGCCAACGATTCTAGTGTTCAAAACACTGTCCCATGTCTACTGAAACCTCGCTCTAAACTACACATTGGAGCCTTCAACGTACGAACCCTATGTCAAATCGGTCAGCAGGCTTCCTTGGCTAAAACCCTAGAGTCTCTTTCCATTGATGTATGCTGAGTCTCCGAAACACGCATACAGGATTCCAGTGTGGTCATTCACTTGACCTCACCTCGGCAAAACGAAGAGCCAACGAGATACACCCTCCGTGTATCTGGTGACCCGATGGCCAGTTCTCGTGGACTGGCAGGTGTAGGCATAGCACTAAGCATGAGGGCGGAACAAGCACTGCTAGAGTGGATCCACGTCAACAGTCGTCTATGTGTTGTTCGGTTAAACGGCTCCGTAAGAACTCGGAAGGATAGGGACACACGTCGTTGCCTTTTTGTCGTTTCTGCCTACGCTCCCACTGACTGCAGCTCAGATGAAGTGAAAGATGAATTTTACAGAAAGCTGTCCGAACTTCTTCAGAAAGCTAAACGTTCAGACATAGTACTCGTAGCAGGTGATTTTAATGCTCAGATAGACAGTTTAAACCAAACAGAAAGGCATTTAGGTGGATATTTTAGTATTCCGACACAGCGAACAGATAATGGTGATCGTCTGCTGCAACTGTGCTCAGACAATCGTTTATTTTTAGCAAACACAAATTTTAAGCATAAGGAGAGACATCGTCTAACATGGCGACCCCCTACACCAAACCAACGATGGACTCAAATAGACCATATTGCCATCAGTCATCGTAAGAGAGGGTCGGTAGAAGATTGTCGCTCATTCTGGAGTACCTGCTTGGACTCCGACCATGCCCTAATACGGGCACGCATCTGCTTGCGCCTCACTGGACGCAAAAAAGCAACATTAAAAAGACCCATTAGAACTGAATTGAGTAACGAGAAAACCAAAAGTAGGTTCCAGGAACAACTGAGGTCACACTTAGGTAGTTGTGAAGACGAGGCTGACCCAGATGTTGCATGGAAGGGTATACAATCAGCTGTGGAAACAGCAGTGACATCTATTAGTGACTTAAACCACAGAGTTGCAAGGAACCAGTGGATTTCTTCAAGGTCTGTCACACTGATGGATTCTCGCAAACTCGTCCCATCAGGTTCTGAACATGATGAAGAGCGTAAACAAATCAGATCTAGGTTAAGAAAAAGTCTAAGGAACGACCGTGAGCAGTGGTGGGCAATGAAAACAAAAGAGATGGAAAAGGCGGCGACTATAGGGAACACAAGACAGCTTTACAGACTAATAAAAGAAACTGGAATTAATAAGTCAAGTGTAAGTGAGATTATATCGGAAAAAGACGATACACTCATCTGCTCCAAGTCCAGACGTTTAGAACGATGGGCGGAACATTTTAGAGAACAGTTCAGATGGCCTTCAGCTACTCTACAACTACCCTCCATTCCCAGACAATGTGAATGGAACATTGAAGTAGGTCCCCCAACTCTTACTGAAGTTCAAAAGACTATAGTTAATCTGAAACGAGGAAGGGCAGCTGGTCCAGATGGACTGGCTCCAGAAGTCTTTAAGGATGGTGGCCCAATTTTAGCGATTAGGTTGACTAATATTTTAGCTAAGATCTGGGAATTAGACTTTATCCCATCTGACTGGTCGCAATCACTTATCGTCCCAATATATAAGAAAGGGTCAAAATCATCCTGCGACAACCACAGAGGGATTAGTTTAACTATTATAATATCTAAAATACTAGCCTCGATAATTATCAAAAGCCTAACTAAGACGCGTGAACTGCAAACACGAGAAAACAAAGCTGGCTTCAGACCTGGTCGTGGCTGCATCGACCACATATTCACCATTCGTCAGGTTCTAGAACACAGGCATACTTATCGGCGTCCGACGATGGTGGTCTTTCTTGACTTAAAAGCAGCATTTGACTCGGTAGACCGCGAAATTCTGTGGCAGTGTCTGTCATTGAAAGGCGTACCTCAGAAGTACATAAACCTTGTGAAGGCTCTTTACTCGAACACTACTAGTCGAGTCAGGGCTTATGGCGAACTGTCATCTACTTTTGCAACTTCAAGTGGTGTCCGTCAAGACTGTCCACTTTCTCCATTTTTGTTTAACCTCATCATAGACCTATTGATGGAAATAACACTCTCGTCGACTGAATTCTCGGGTATTGATCTCCATCCAGGAGGTCCACTTATCGACTTAGAATACGCAGATGACATAGTCCTGTTTGGTGAAGACGCTGACAAAATGCAGAGTCTTCTGGTAGCACTAAGCAACAATGCCAGAATGTTTGGAATGCGCTTCTCTCCCTCTAAATGCAAGTTGTTGCTTCAGGACTGGTCTGCGTTAACACCTGAACTAAGGATAGGGAGTGAAGTAGTCGAACGCGTTGACAACTTCACTTATCTTGGAAGTCTGATCAGCCCTAATGGGTTGGTGTCTGACGAAATCTCAGCACGGATTCGAAAATCTCGTTTGGCTTTTGCCAACTTACGTCACCTGTGGTGAAGGCGAGATATCCGTCTATCAATAAAAGGACGAGTATACTGCGCAGCAGTTCGTTCTGTTTTAATTTACGGCAGCGAAACATGGCCATTAATGGTAGAAAACACTCGTAAGCTACTAGTATTTGACCACAGATGCCTTAGAAATATTGCTGGCATCTGCTGGGATCACCGGGTAAGTAATAGTGAGGTTCGACGCAGGGTATTAGGGAATGATGGTAAATCAGTTGATGAGGTTGTGAATCTTCATCGACTGAGATGGTTGGGCCCCGTGTTACGTATGCCTGAACACCGATTACTACGACGTGCAATGCTATCCGGTGTAGGGGATGGTTGGAAGAAAGTTAGGGGCGGCCAAACCAAAAAGTGGCATCAGTGCCTGAAGTCACTAACTTCTAGTCTGAGCCATGTTGGTAGATGCAGACTACTTGGTTGGGGTCCGCGTGACTTTTGTAACCAATGGTTGGAGACTCTTGGTGACATGGCTCAGAATCGATCACAATGGCGTCGGTGTATACACTCCCTGTCTTCCCTTAAACTAAGAGATTAAAATCACTTCATATCTTTCTTTCTACGAACTAATTCTTTCTTCCTATACTATATCCTTGTTGCAATCCTTCTCCTATATATTACCACCTTTGGCCTAACCACTCCTATGAATCCGCTGTTCATCTTGCTGTGCTAATGAGGTATGGCAATCTGGACCGATGCACATATGTGCCTGGTCCTACGTTGTAGCTGACTGACTGACTGAATAGTAGTTTGTCAATAAATTTTCCCCTACTTAAAATTAAACTTTACATCCAGTTAAACGAAACGTTTCAATAGGGATTGGTGAACTTCCTGGAATCAACTTAACCTTCTTTAAAAATATAAAACGTCATGAGGTCGTATTTCGTCATATCATCTAATTTCAAGTACAGAAAAAGCCCGTTTCAGTTGCTAGTTCCCCTACATTACCGGTAGCTTTTATACACGAGGTCTCCGAACGAGTAAATTAATGAGAATATACAACAACTGGTATACCATATAGATTACCCAACTCATAGTAAATTTGAGAGCTTTAACAGGCAAGTCACAATGGCAGGATTTCATCTGCATAAAGCCACTTAACAGTGTGATTTATCAATAAAAGACAACTTTACATTCCACGGACAATGTTGAAAGAAACCATCGCTTTGTGATATGACCTATTAACTCAACAGCTCAGTAACTAACAGCAAAAATTTGCCCTATCTTTAATCACAGTTTACTTTCGGAACCCGGAAACTGAGAAAACTAATAAACGAATGTGATCAGTGGAAAACGTGTGAGTGATTAGTGTTTATGAACAGCAGTTACTAAGAATAAACTTCAGGAAGCCAAATGCAATTTTTTCCTATAAGTCTGTTTCCGCGTTAACGTTATCGACTCTATGGTATCTGTTTTTATTTAACCACAAAGTTGGTCAAAGGAGGATCCATTGGTGGCAACTGTCTACTTACATGTCGAGCTTATGACAATAAGACCGTAATTCAGAAACCGTTGTATTCTAATATACCTAGTGTTATGTTCGTTAACTTGAATACTACTACTGATTCGTCTTACTCGGAACGAAACGAAGAATCAAGGACTCAGAGACTCGATAAGCTATACTGGTCCGTTGTCCCCGACTCAGCTAACTCGATCCAGAAGTCTTGGTAAGATGTAGAAAGTATATTCTACAGACAACCAGAAGATACCAGGTCCCTCAAGCACACAAATCAAGCGTATTTATACAAAAAATATATAATCGATATTGCCATGGAAGTTTTTAAACATTTAATAGATAACTTCGTCAGTCGACTGCCATTAAAATATTTGAGCATTCAATCGATAAGTTCGTCAATCGACTATGTGCGTGGGTGGTAAGAAATGCCCAAGCAAGCATCTGCATACAAGCTCCACAAAGATAAAATTACAAAATATGAGTTTTGGGGATCTAACGTCCCCAACACCTAACAAACCATGAAGAGAATTAGAAAGACTTTTTGTGACCATTATCCAATGCAACTCATCAGCCTACGTAAATACATGTTAAAAACCTTACCTTAATGTACTAAATACTTTTATGAAATGTTTAATGCCGACTACACTATCTAGGCCAGTAGCTGAAGTTTATGTAACCTAGTACACAAGTATAATTAGTAAACCATTTTGAGGATAAAATTCCGATGCTTGTAAAAGCAGAAAGCTACCTAGTTCATAACCTTACAGAAAATATAATTTTGGGTAACACTACGACAAGTGAGGAAGATTAATGAATATATGTCCCGTTGCGAGTTTGAATAAATTAAGAAAAACGACAAACGTAAAGTCGATTACCTTGGTACTAGGCATGAAGCGGCGATGGTAAACACCAGGAAACACAAATTCAGAGGGTTGAACACTCCCCTGCTTTTGAAACATAAACTCCGATATTCGTGTCATATGTAATGATGGTTCCACCAGATAATGATGGCGTACGCAACCAACTGGCCAGACTGTGTTTGTCGCCCTAAATTTTCAGCGTATAACAGAGGAAAAAATTAAGTGAATCGAACGAAAAATGTATATTAGTGATGAATTAGTTATAATCTAAGTTAGTAGGTCACTAGACCAGTGGAATGACAAAAATGAGACTTTTCAAGTATCATCTTGCATTCAATCTAAAATTTCATTTCACTAAAAATATCTTGAAAAAAAACACTTACGTTTCTACTTTGTTATATTACAGTTGGTATTCGCGCTATGGAGTGAAAATGATTATACTGAAGAAGCAACAAGATTTATAAAGATGGTAAGAAGAAATTTAGCGGTTTTATCGGGAAGTAAACAGGAATCTTAAATCTATCGAACGCTGCTATGTTAATTGATTTAGTTGCTCACTTTTTGGCGAATTAATGTACTTTTTATATATGATACTGTTTGTCCGTAACATGATAACCTTATATGACTGACGAAATAAAATGGATTATAAATTTGGACAACGCTGAGAGAACAATCCGTTTCTTACTGATAACTTTCTCGGCATCTAAGTCCTACTGCATGAAAAACTGGAACTTTATTGTAGTCCAAATTAAAAAGGATATATATATGAATACTTCTGGATAGATGCTTTGGTATAGCAAAAAGATAGGAAGCAATTGTATTGCGATTTCCTTCATCAAACTCCATATCAATAAATCAAGAGAAAAAGCAAGATGGGATTAAGTCCCGACTTTTATAATCCCTTCTCCTTCTGTAATAGAAGATAACAGTTAGTTTTTGTTATACATATAACAATACGGTTTCAATATGAATCAATATTTTCCTTTAGTGTACTGTTTCCATACATTTATTTTTCTTGAAAAGGATAAAACTGACACGAATTCATTCCACTTCACTAGATAGCCATAAACCGGTAACACTGTTTATCTAGAAATATTTGTTTATGACATCAGTCAGACAGTCACAACCAACGTAAGCAAGCTGGTTCAAATGCATATTGGCCCAAGTACAATAAATACATTTTAAATTCCGGGTATAATTTCCCAGATGATATCCTACTTCTTAGCCTCAGCAAACAAAAATAGATCATAGTTCCACTGTTATCTTGTGTTCTCAATGTTGCAGGTTATGAAAGCTGGCTAAATATCAACGAAACAAAATGAAGTCACTCTGTTTCACAGATAAACCAGTTATTTTTATTACTACCACTCTGATATAATACAAGCTTAGGGGATGTGCGTTCACATCTATGCGTCCCGACATGGTCATGATAAGGCATAAGCACCACCACTAGATTAGAGATAGTAGAGGAAGTCAAATTATTTACAGTGTATTGTAATTTACAGACAATTATTCCGTTGCAGTATATGCATCAAAAAAGTCACTTCTCAATAAACTAAAATAGTACTAGCTGACAATGTAGAATTTCAGTGTGAGAGATCTGTAATAAAAATTCATCAAGAATACTCACCAGGTGACTGTTCCGAGCCCAGAGCCAAAATCAAATAATGACTTTGGAATAAAACTTGGGCATCGTTTACGGATTTCGTACAAGACGCGGCAAACGGTAGCAAAGTTGGGTGCCAAACGTGAGACAAGGTACAGCTCACAAGTATGCCCAGAGTAACTAAAACAGGGAATAAAGAGTTAGCTCGAAGTTTTAGGATCGGCTTGGCAATAAAAAACGGGAAAAACAACGCTTCAAAACCAACCACTTTAGGTATGTCTGCTACTGATAAAAAAACGGAAACCAAAAACAACGACAACACAATATTATAATGATTATACTACAGTATTAAGTGAAAGTAATCAGAAAATTGATTGGAATTTCTCAATATTTATTTTATTCCAAATGCACGGAAATCTATAGAAATATAAGATGATCTGTAATATTCCCAATGGCAGATAAGCCAATTCTTGGATCTTCGATGTACAACTAAAATATCTGAAAGTGATATATTTGCTAACGAACGAAAACAGAAAATTCGAACTACTAAGTATTATATGGAAATCATTGATGGTGACAGAACATCCTCTCGATACCATATCCATGCCCAGACAAGTGATTTGATTAACTAATAAGCAATTCGAAGTCAATGGTAAAAGTGGTAGAGGACAATTATCATGTTTGCAGCAAATTATGATAAATAGTTCATAAGGTGACTTTAGTCATTAACCTTGCTAACACAATTGAATCCATGCAAAGTTGATTATCTATTTATTTGAACACATAAATATTGGTACAAGAGTGCGCCAAATATATATGCGCCACACAAAACAATGAAAATTTAAGGGGAAGGAAAAAAAGAGAGAATAATAATGAAGAGATTGATGTAAGGTGGTGAAATAATAATAATGGTAATAATGGAGGAACAGAAAGGTACAATCGGAAGAAATCATTCAGTTAAGGAAGATACAACCACTGCTTATAAAGAAAGTAAAAGAAAATTACAGCAGGATCGCCGCTGGCCTCTATTCCGAGCCATATCTGATATCGTCTCTAACCACTGTGTAGCATCATCTCTCGGACCCCAACCAGGGAGTCATCAAGGACCAACAGAAGCCAGCCCTTTGCAGCTTTCTTTCATACCACGACACCATGTCATATACTGAACACCTCTCCGCTTTTTATAACCAGTCGTAGAGTCGACAAATAATTCACGACGTGGAATTCTCTGGGACGACATTCGTAGAACATGTCCAAGCCACCGAAGTCGGTGTTTCAAGAAGGTGACACCGATTGCATTATCGTCTCTGTGCCCGAACACACGATGCCGAACCTCTGCATTACTCAAATGATGCTGCCACTGGATGTCAGCAATCCTTCGGAGACAACGATGATCAAACACAGGGACTCGTCTAACGTCCTCAACTCGGAGAGGCCAGGTTTCACAGGCATAGAGCAAAGTTGCTCTCACCAGCGCGTTGTAGATCCGACCTTTTACAGCCAGACCAACATCACGAAGGCGCCAAAGATGGCCCACATTGGCATAAGCCGCTCTGGCTTTCACTATACGTGCATCGATCTCATCACTCACACCCTCACCAGCACTTATGCAGCCACCCAGATACACGAACTTCTCGACTACTTCTATCTGCTCACCATCCAGAGTGAGTACAGGATTAGAATCCTGTCAGTCTTGTAAAAGTACTTCGCACTTAGAAGGTGCAAATCTCATACCGTACCTACGGACACTGATTGCCAACTGATTAAGTGCGGATTGCATGCTTTGGGTATCATCGCACAGTAAGGCAATATCACCTGCATACTCAAGATCGAGAAGGCTTTCTCCGGGTAAGAGATCCACATCGCTATCACTTACATCCATCAGAGCTGTTTCCAGAATGTCGTCGACGGCAAGGTTGAAGAGGAATGGTGCGATTGGGCAACCCTGGCTAATTCCACTGCTCAAATGGAACAATGGAGAGAGGTGGTTGTATGCCCTCACTCTGCCTGAGGTGTCTGTATATAGGGCTTTCAGGATGTTAATAAACTTCTCAGACACCCCCTTCTTCAATAGACAATCCCAGAGAACAGTCCTGTCCAACGAATCGAAGGCAGTCCTGATGTCAAGAAACACTACGATTGTTGGCCTTTGATAAGTATGGCGGTGTTCTAACATTTGGCGGAGGGTGAACATATGATCAATACATCCTCGACCAGAACGAAACCCATCCTGCTCCTCACCAGTCAATCATTCTCGGCTTTTGAACAACCTACGAAGTATGACGGAAGCCAATAGCTTGGACGCAATCGGAAGTAGACTTATCCCCCGATAGTTGTTTCAGGAACGACGTGAACCCTTTTTAAAGATAGGGACAACTATCGACTCATTCCATGACATTGGTACACTCTCTAGCTCCCACACCTTTGTGAACAACGTCGTCAGTTCCTTAGTCAGAAAGTCACCACCATCTTTAAAAAGAGCCGGAGGTAAGTCATCTAGGCCAGGTGATTTGTAGCGCTTCAAGAGTTGGAGTTCCTTGCGGACTTCCTCCTCGTTTGGTGGATCAATCGTCACCGGCCATGGAGGGCAGGACAGTCTGACCGATGTTGCCGGAGCAGCAGGCCAGTTGAACTGCCCTTCGAAAAATTCTGCCCATCGTCCAAGACGTCGATGGATGTTAGTGATTGGCATTCAATCATCCTCGCAGATTGTTTCGCTCACACCAGACTTCTTGCTGCCAGTGGCTCGGATGAGTTGGAAGAGCTTCCGGCAGTTACCAGATGCAGCTGCTGCTTCCAGCTCATTGGCACGCTCCGACCACCAGGCTTCTCGGTCCTTACGCAAGCTTTACCTGATTTCATTACGTAATATCCTTCGTTTGTGGTCAAACTCACGGTCACCCGGAGTAGACCGACGGGCTTCAATGAGTTGTAAGGAACCAGAAGAAACCCAGTGCTTAAAAGCGGGACGTTTCGCAAACCCACAACTGACTGTTCCCGCCATTTTCATGGCGTCATGCAATTGCAACCAATGCTCATCTATACTTTTCGGTGGAGTGGTAGCTAGCCTAGAGGCTAGCTCGGTTCGATACTTATTTGCAACAGAAGTTGCAACCAGCTTGCTAACATCAATCTTTTGGTGGTGATCACTTCGTTGGCCACTGAAAAGTAAGGCAAGATTGGCGCAGACCAAGGCATGGTCAGAGTCCAGATAGGTACTCCAAAAGGAGCGGCAGTCTTTTACACAACCACGCCAGCGGTAGCTGATCGCGATGTGATCAATCTGAGTCCAGGCTTGGGATGCAGAGGGAGGACGCCAGGTGGCACATCGGCGATGACTGTGCCGAAAGTTAGTGCTAGCCAGAAACAGGTTTTGGTCTGTGCACAGTTGCAGTAGACGGTCCCCGTTGTCTGACCTGCGATCAACAAGTCCCCATCGGCCACCTAAACGACTCTCTTCTGTGCCTAGAAGCCCGACCTGAGCATTCAAGTCTCCGGCTAGTACTACAATATCTGTCGAACGCACTTTCTGGAGAAGAACAGATAACTGGTAGTAAAACTTATCCCTGATTGCATCCGGGCTGCAATCTGTCGGGGCATAGGCGGAGATGACGAAAAGACATCGTTTCTCACGCCGATTTCTTCTCACTTTGATGGAACTTTCTAATCTAACAGCACATAACCGACTGTTAATGGGGATCCAATCGACTAGTGCTGCCTCAGCTCTAGCGCTTAGTGCGACACCAACGCCTGCAAGACCAGACGAAGATGCCACAGGGTCCCCGGATAAGCGCACGTAAAACAAGCTTTTCGAAGCGACAGGTGGAGAGCGCATTTGTAGTACTTCACCAGAGTCTTGAATACGGGTCTCGGATAGACAACAAACATCGATATTAAGACTTTCCAAAGACATAGCCAGCCCTATCTGTTGACCAACCTGCATAAGTGTGCGAACGTTGAAGGCAGCCAGTTTGAATGGCGCACGTGGTTTCAGAAAAACTGCTTCAGTACTCATATTCGATGGTAACATACAACTTTCAACCGGACAGTGACTCGAGAACGTTTAGATACAGTCGGATTTCCACCAAAGACGAGCCGCTGTATAAGTATAAAAGAGGGTGAATAATGTGGAAAATAATAATAATATTAATAATGACAATAATTGTAATGATAATAATTTGAATCACTTGATTGTTATTCGAAGCGAGAAAAGCAGTTTCCATAAATATAGAGAGTTCATCATAATTGTGTGTGGGCTGCGATACTGCTCGGGTGCTCAGACCGAAGCTGGTGGTTATCTTAGGGGGCCACACCCCGAGCCCTTGACCTAAAGGTCTAAACCACAAGGCAGTGGAGCATCGTAAGGAGATGCAGTCCCATGGTAGCCGGTGACCAACGATTGGTTCATACGCCATTTGTTCCCATAGGATACTAGAGCCCATGTACACCATTGGTTTGGGATCCGGTTAAAGCCCCGGACATTCGCTTTTGGTCCTCTCATTTTCGTAAACAACACCCCCGCCACGAGAAGGCAGTGAGTAGGACTTCCCTGGCAGAGGCTGTATACACGTGGCCATATGAGAGTATTTCGAGAGGGAGGGTGGAACCACCCCGCTCTCGGCCATACCAGGGCATTGTTTAAAAAAGCAACTTTAGAGGCCAAATTGAATCATCAGTAAACTAGATAGTCGAAAGACAAATCATACAATGTCGTTACACGACAGTCACTAATGCATTCTAAAGACTTTATTATTATTATATAATATTATATGAATTTATTTCTAAAGGCCGAAATATTACTCAATGGGGAAATAAGGAGTGATGCATGTTCAGACTTTTCTCTACCAACAAAAAACGAGTATTTCATAGATAAAATCAAATACCTTAAATTATTTAGTGAGAATGTGATGTGGGCAAGGTGAAAGCTTACCTTAGTGATTTCCATGACTTAAAATCCAATTCTCTACTAATTTGGGCTTCACGTTGAGAAGTAAAGTTCTTCAGAGCAAACATCAGACCTTCGTCTTCATCCCATGAATCCAAGTCCCCTGAGTCCTCAATTTTCGACGATTTAAGGATAACTTTTTCCTATGGTAGAATTTAAAAAGCCGTCACTGATGTTCGGTCTTATAATTTGGATTTAAAAAACCGGCATCGAAGAATTAGACGACGTAAAAACATATTCATGACATGAACAAATGAATAGTAATAGCTGCTTACCTCAGACATAAGAGGGCGCGACCACAGATAGTTTGTAAGAATTTTAGAACGATCTTCGATCGCCTTCGGGGGAGAAAGAGAATGCTCTCGGAGATAGTCGATAGCCACTGCATCTAGTCGAGCAGGTAGAGATATAGGAGGCAGCTGTAGATAACATGGAAGTTGCTTTAACCTTGAAGCCCAGGTTGTTGAACATTCATCAGAGTCTTTGTCACGTTTTCGAGAGTTCCGTGGAGGCGGTGTTGAGAAAGTTGATTGTAGCTCATCAGACGTACGATATCGTAAACTCCCATTAATTAAACGGCCAGTGAAATCAACCACAGATTTCCCACGAGAGGCCTAAACGATTTTCATTTCATGAATAACACAAAGCATACTCAGATATATGACTCAAAATTTACGTATTTACGACAAATAAAAAGTTTGTTTAGAGAACTGATAAAGTTTTGAATTAGATGATAAAAACTTATGGGCTTCATGTATAATTTAGTTAAATTCACTATTAATTTGTGGTTCACTTTAGTCTAATGGTTATGATGCGCTCGAATCACTTAGTGCCAAACAATCTAAATTGATTAGAAACAATCAAAGCAACCGATTAAAGAGAGCCAAAAAATAGTCAGGATAAGATTTTAAATTGATGATGAAATAAGTAGGAAACTTAAGTAGACTGATCAAAATATTCTCCAAATATTCGGAAGAGCACTTTAGGTCCAGTAAGTTTGGGAAGGACGACTCAAATGTTAAGATTAAGTAAGAAAATGTATCAAAGAGAAAGAGATAATACCAGGGCAGTCAAACCAAGGTATTACATAAAACTCGTTGAAAAACCCTTGTCTAAGCCACACAGAGAAATGAGAACTTGAATGGACCATAGACAGATTTTGGGACGGTTGGGTATAGGTTCTAAAACACTAAACAAAAGCCAAGAAATCTCTTTTGACAAACTTAAAAGGACCAACAACTTACACACAGATGACGACTAGTAAGTGTACATGCAGCTTAGCTGATATTTAGGAAAGTCAGTAAAAAAACGACTGAGGTTATGATCTGCTACAACATCAAGGATACGTGGGGTTGTTATATATTATAAACTATGAAAACTTAAGGGGTCGTAAGTGCATATCTGGCATTTCTAAATTTTATTCAGAAGGCGAAAAACTCACTAATTAAGAGGACCACACGATATTAAGAAGTCAGCACAAATTTAGTTATATTAATAAATGAGAATGGTATTAATTGAAAACAGAAAATAAATAGAGTGAGTTAATTAAGATTTATAAGAGAAAACTCTTTTAGTTTTATACTATCAGTGGTCACCAACCACCGGTCTTTATCATCCCTAAATCAAGTGAGCGATTTTAGAGCTCGTGTCGTACATAACGTTGATTTTTTCAACTGTGTTCTGCTTTCGCCTGCATTGTAGGTCAAGGTAGGTTGTAGAGTTATATGTTACACATGAGTAGTTCACTTTAAGTATTTTTGCAAACTTATTGGCTGGTTTTACTTCCAGTTCACTCGGTGGTTTTCCCACATACGATGAGTGATTAAGAGACATGTATGGTGTCATTAATATTATGACAATTGAACTAAGTCAAGTACATGTTAGTGCGCAAGACTTTGAGAGATAGTAGAAGTGCTAATAATATTAGCTGGCTGCTTGAACCAATAATGCAGACTTAAAAATTCCCGACTGATAACTAAATAGTTATCCATTAAAGTACCTCTTCAATGAAAGATACATCTGAACTTATATGGTTATAACATGACAATGAGAGATATGCTAAAAATGACAACTGATACGATAAATATTCAACTGTTACTAATGAGCTGATGGGTACGGTATTCCGTAGATACGTTCCAAGGATTTATTTCTCGCTTAAATTCTTTACAAGGCTGATAAAGTAACGTGTAGGAAGCATACTGAGTATAAGAAATAACATCAGTCTAAGTAAAATGTCTTGGTTAAGTAATTCTACATTTCTACGATGCATCTTGCAGTGGTGGGTAACGAAAGCAAAAGAGATGGAAAAGGCGGCGACTATAGGGAACACAAGACAGCTTTACAGACTAATAAAAGAAACTGGAATTAATAAGTCAAGTGTAAGTGAGATTATATCGGAAAAAGACGATACACTCATCTGCTCCAAGTCCAGACGTTTAGAACGATGGGCGGAACATTTTAGAGAACAGTTCAGATGGCCTTCAGCTACTCTACAACTACCCTCCATTCCCAGACAATGTGAATGGAACATTGAAGTAGGTCCCCCAACTCTTACTGAAGTTCAAAAGACTATAGTTAATCTGAAACGAGGAAGGGCAGCTGGTCCAGATGGACTGGCTCCAGAAGTCTTTAAGGATGGTGGCCCAATTTTAGCGATTAGGTTGACTAATATTTTAGCTAAGATCTGGGAATTAGACTTTATCCCATCTGACTGGTCGCAATCACTTATCGTCCCAATATATAAGAAAGGGTCAAAATCATCCTGCGACAACCACAGAGGGATTAGTTTAACTATTATAATATCTAAAATACTAGCCTCGATAATTATCAAAAGCCTAACTAAGACGCGTGAACTGCAAACACGAGAAAACAAAGCTGGCTTCAGACCTGGTCGTGGCTGCATCGACCACATATTCACCATTCGTCAGGTTCTAGAACACAGGCATACTTATCGGCGTCCGACGATGGTGGTCTTTCTTGACTTAAAAGCAGCATTTGACTCGGTAGACCGCGAAATTCTGTGGCAGTGTCTGTCATTGAAAGGCGTACCTCAGAAGTACATAAACCTTGTGAAGGCTCTTTACTCGAACACTACTAGTCGAGTCAGGGCTTATGGCGAACTGTCATCTACTTTTGCAACTTCAAGTGGTGTCCGTCAAGACTGTCCACTTTCTCCATTTTTGTTTAACCTCATCATAGACCTATTGATGGAAATAACACTCTCGTCGACTGAATTCTCGGGTATTGATCTCCATCCAGGAGGTCCACTTATCGACTTAGAATACGCAGATGACATAGTCCTGTTTGGTGAAGACGCTGACAAAATGCAGAGTCTTCTGGTAGCACTAAGCAACAATGCCAGAATGTTTGGAATGCGCTTCTCTCCCTCTAAATGCAAGTTGTTGCTTCAGGACTGGTCTGCGTTAACACCTGAACTAAGGATAGGGAGTGAAGTAGTCGAACGCGTTGACAACTTCACTTATCTTGGAAGTCTGATCAGCCCTAATGGGTTGGTGTCTGACGAAATCTCAGCACGGATTCGAAAATCTCGTTTGGCTTTTGCCAACTTACGTCACCTGTGGTGAAGGCGAGATATCCGTCTATCAATAAAAGGACGAGTATACTGCGCAGCAGTTCGTTCTGTTTTAATTTACGGCAGCGAAACATGGCCATTAATGGTAGAAAACACTCGTAAGCTACTAGTATTTGACCACAGATGCCTTAGAAATATTGCTGGCATCTGCTGGGATCACCGGGTAAGTAATAGTGAGGTTCGACGCAGGGTATTAGGGAATGATGGTAAATCAGTTGATGAGGTTGTGAATCTTCATCGACTGAGATGGTTGGGCCCCGTGTTACGTATGCCTGAACACCGATTACTACGACGTGCAATGCTATCCGGTGTAGGGGATGGTTGGAAGAAAGTTAGGGGCGGCCAAACCAAAAAGTGGCATCAGTGCCTGAAGTCACTAACTTCTAGTCTGAGCCATGTTGGTAGATGCAGACTACTTGGTTGGGGTCCGCGTGACTTTTGTAACCAATGGTTGGAGACTCTTGGTGACATGGCTCAGAATCGATCACAATGGCGTCGGTGTATACACTCCCTGTCTTCCCTTAAACTAAGAGATTAAAATCACTTCATATCTTTCTTTCTACGAACTAATTCTTTCTTCCTATACTATATCCTTATTGCAACCTTTGATCTAACCACTCCTATGAATCCGGTGTCCATCTTGTTGTGTTAATGAGGTATGGCAACCTGGACCGATGCACATATGTGCCTGGTCCTACGTTGTAGCTGACTGACCGGCTGACTGACTGACGATGCATCTTGACTCAGTTATGTTTACTAACTAGTAGTCATCAACCAGGATAAGTATTAGCCTGCAGTTAGGAAAGTGAACATGTCTTAGAAATTTCACAAAATCAGTTGATAAAGCCGCAAAAAGGCTCAATAATAGTTAGTTTCTATAATTAATAATTAAACGTCCTTTGCCTAGCAAGAATTTTAGTGGCGGTTTTCGTAATTACGAAACAGAAACCAACTATTTGCCATTTGAATCATCTGGTACTGTGATTAAACTAAGTAGCGCATGAACTACAAAATCATCAGGCTTACAGAACACCCAAAATAAAAATTCGTGAAATATATGGAAGTTTCATCAGAACCACAGCAACAAAGACCTTGTTTCGAACCAATTTTCTTACGATCTACTCATGGGGACCAATACTGCATTAATAATCAAAAACTGTCTTCATGGTATACACTGGATAAGATTCATGAAAGAAGAAACAAGAAGACAGCGATCAATACCAGCCGAACAAGAGCAGAAAAAGCCAAGGCACAAGCTGAATACACGGAAATAAACAAACAAGTGAAGTGGAGCATCAGAACCGACAAACGTAAATATGTGGAAGATTTAGCAACGACGGTAGAAAAGGCTGCAAGAGAAGGAAACATGAAACAATTGTATGACACGACAAAGAAACTCTCTGGAAATCGCCGCAAACCAGAACGACCAGTGAAAAGCAAGGAAGGCAAGGTAATCACCAACATTGAAGAGCAACAAAACAGGTGGGTAGAACACTTCAAAGAACTCTTGAATCGACCAGCTCCACTGAACCCACCCAACATCGAAGCCGCACCCACGGACCTCCCAATCAATGTTGGCCCACCAACAATTGAAGAAAACAGCATGGCCATCAGACAAACCAAGAGTGGCAAAGCAGCAGGACCGGACAACATTCCAGCAGAGGCACTGAAAGCAGAAGTAGCGGCAGCTGCAAGGATACTCCACATCCTCTTCAATAAGATTTGGGATGAGGAACAAGTACCAACAGACTGGAAAGAAGGACTTCTGATCAAAATACCGAAGAAAAGCGATCTCAGCAAGTGTGATAACTACAGGGGCATCACTCTTCCCTCAATACCGGGAAAAGTCTTCAACAGGGTATTGTTAAACAGGATGAAGGACTGCGGAGACGCCCAACTTCGTGATCAACAGGCAGGATTCCGTAAGGATAGATCGTGTACAGACCAAATCGCAACTCTACGGACCATTGTGGAACAATCAATTGAATGGAATTCATCACTCTACATCAACTTCATTGACTACGAAAAGGCATTTGACAGCGTGGACAGAACAATACTATGGAAACTTCTTCGACACTACGGCGTGCCTCAGAAGATAGTTAATATCATACAGAACTCATATGATGGATTACACTGCAAAATTGTGCATGGAGGACAGTTGACAAAGTCGTTCGAAGTGAAGACCGGTGTTAGACAAGGTTGCTTACTCTCACCCTTTCTCTTTCTCCTGGTGATCGACTGAATCATGAAGACGTCAACGTCTGAAGGGAAGCGCGGGACACAATGGACATCTAAGATGCAGTTGGATGATCTAGACTTCGCAGACGATCTGGCCCTTCTATCCCAAACGCAACAACGAATGCAGGAGAAGACAAACAGTGTGGCAGCAGCCTCAGCAGCAGTAGGTCTCAACATACACAAAGGGAAAAGCAGGATTCTCCGATACAACACAGAATGCACCAATCCAATCACAATTGACGGAGAAGATTTGGAAGATGTAAAAACCTTTACGTATTTGGGCAGCATCATTGATGAACAGGGTGGATCTGATGCAGATGTGAAGGCGCGGATCGGCAAAGCAAGAGCAGCATATTTACAACTGAAGAACATCTGGAGCTCAAAGCAACTGTCAACCAACACCAAGGTCAGGATTTTCAATACAAATGTCAAGACAGTTCTATTGTATGGAGCAGAAACCTGGAGAACTACAAAAGCCATCATCCAGAAAATACAGGTGTTTATTAACAATTGTCTACGCAAAATACTTCGGATCCGTTGGCCGGACACTATTAGCAACAACGTACTGTGGGAGAAAACAAACCAGATCCCAGTGGAGGAAGAAATCAGATAGAAGCGCTGGAAGGGGATAGAACACACATTTAGGAAAGCACCCAACTGCGTCACAAGACAAGCCCTCACATGGAATCCTGAAGGTCAAAGGAAAAGAGGAAGACCAAAGAACACATTACGCCGAGAAATGGAGATAGACATGAGAAAAATGAACAAGAATTGGATGGAACTAGATTGGGTTGGAGAATGCTGGTCAGCGGCCTATGCTCCATTAGGAGTAACAGGCGTAAGTAAGTAAGTAAGTCTTCATGGTGGGGAAAAAAATGTTAATTATACATCTTAATGCAGCACAAGAAGTTTCGTCATGCTTTTGACTCATATGCAAATACGAGTCGTCACCATATGCTTTGTGTAATCCTTTTATTTTGAAAACACATAATGGAGTCCTTTTAAGTAACATTTT